CACAAACAACTAAAATATCGTTGCCATGTACGTGAATGTTTCAAAAATCTACAATTCATATCTGTGTCACGTAGTTACCACTTGTCAATATTCATTTCTTGTGTTCATTACGGATAAATTTCATTCCTATACGTATTTCTGTATAATCTTCTCCGTTAATTGTGCCTATATAATATTTTCAAATAAATATGTCATATAGATGTCAGTGGCGTAATTACGGGGGGGGATTTGGGTGTCGTATCCCCCCCCTTGACCATTTTTTTTTTTTTTTTTTAATCGTCAAACACATTTATGTACTAATTTTATTAATATATATTTCATAGATAATACAAAAATCACCCGAATCTCCATAATATTATACAAATATATAATCATCCATCAATATTATCATAATATACAGTGTGATCACGATTTTAGGTACCACTGAATATCACAGATGGATGACTTTGTATTGAAATGGGGTTTTCGGGAGGTGATAGGGAGCACTTAAATACATATTTTCAGACCAGTTTCAAATTTTTAGCTCACTCGGTACGCGCATGCCGCATGCGCAATATTACTTTTTTTTAAATGGCAACCCCAGTTTTTTCTGCAGATTCAGGTAGAGTATTTATTTTTGAACACTTATTGAACATTTATGCATAATTCGTGTTTAATGATATTTTCATTTATAACCAGTTGAAATAATAAAATAAGAGCCAAATAAATGTTTAATGGCGGACGGAAATCGGCCACAACCGACGCCTTAGTCCACTCAGCCACCCTCCCCCCCTAATCAAACATTTATTTGGCACTTATTTTATTATTTCAACTGGTTATAAATGCAAATTGCATTAAACACGTATTATGAATAAATCCAAAATTTGACTTTCTCTAACTTGGTAAGTTTTATAAATAGAAAAACTTTCAATACAAAAAATGTTTAAAAAAAAATACTCTACCCAAATCTGTAGAAAAAAAGTGGGGTTGCCATTTAACAAAAAGTAAGTCAAATTGCGCATGCGCATACTGAGTGAGCTAAAAATTTTAAACTGGTCTGAAAATATGTATTTAAGTGCTTCCTATCGGCTATCACCTCCCGAAAACCCCATTTCAATACAAAGTCAGCCATCTGAGATATTCAGTGGTACCTAAAATCGTGATCACACTGTGATACAATTATATTCTTTTAAAATAGCCAAAATAAGATGCTAATATTCTCTTAAAAAGTTGAAAATATTCTTCCAATATTCTTTAAAAATAATAATAAAATATGCAAAAAAAAATGCTTTTTTATTAAAATATTCTCTTGAACTAAAAATATGCATTTATATGCAAAATAATTAAGCAAATAATACGAACATATAAATAAATAGGTATATAATATGCAAAATAATATAAAAACCTGATATAAATAGGTACCTACATAATAAAAAATACTACTTGTTAAGAAAAGTTTGATTTAATATTTAATTATTTTAAATTTTAAATTTTTAACTAAGAAAATGTTTGAAAACAGTTGACAACTATATTTTGTTCCATGTTCCCTGATGTCATATTTGTACAACGGTCGGTTAAAATGTTTTTATATGTGCTATTTATATTATTTAGGCCACTGCAACAAAAAATATCGAACATCTACAAAAATTAATCGATATATTCTCTAATATTTTTTATTATACGAAATATTCTTTTATCTTGAAATATTCCCAAATATGCAAAATAAACTTTTGCCATTAACTCACCTGTTTCATGATTTGTAAAGATTTCGAACCCCCGTCTGACTGCATAGACTCAAAAAAAATATGCAAAAGAATATAATTCCGGCTACTAGTTATTACATACAGATAATGATAATGGTTGTATTCTTGTATTGAGGGGTGCTTATTGCTTATAGCTTATGCCTTATACGGTTAAAAAAAAATGTTGAGGGGGGGGGGGGGGGGGGAATTGGTGAAATGTACATACATTTCATCCCCCCCCACAACCATGACCAAATTACGCCACTGATAGATGTGTATCTATGCCTAACATGGCCGCGATGTGTGAAAATTCCTCAGCCAAATCGACAGATATTGGGTGGCGATCAACGCCAAATCTGAAGTTTCAGCAGGTCACCAGCGATGTACGTAAACTGGAATCGTCAAAAAATTTTGATTTCAAAGGTTTTCTGGACGGCAGGCTCTGTGTATCTGAGCCAAACATCCCCGTACATCCAAAATTAGCTGGCGAGACAGCTGCAGATATTGGGTGGCGATCAACGCCAAATCTGAAGTTTCAGCAGGTCACCAGCGATGTACGGAAACTGGAATCGTCGAAAAATTTTGATTCCAAAGGTTTTCTGGATGGCAGGCTCTGTGTATCTGAGCCAAATATCCCAGTAAATCCAAAATTAGCTGGCGAGACAGCTGCAGATATTGGGTGGCGATCAACGCCAAATCTGAAGTTTCAGCAGGTCACCAGCGATGTACGGAAACTGGAATCGTCGAAAAATTTTGATTCCAAAGGTTTTCTGGACGGCAGGCTCTGTGTATCTGAGCCAAACATCCCCGTACATCCAAAATTAGCTGGCGAGACAGCTGCAGATATTGGGTGGCGATCAACGCCAAATCTGAAGTTTCAGCAGGTCACCAGTGATGTACGGAAACCGGAAAGTCCGAGACACACACGTCCTCGTCGTTCATTTTGGCGCCAGACAAAGAAATTTGTCAGGCGGTTCCTTTGTTGTTGTGGTTCTGTTGACAAGATAGACCAGTAATATTATGTATATTATAGAGTTTAAAAGGTTTTTAAACATCCCCTCCTTTCCCACCGTTATCTCACTTTTGTGTTCGATGGTACTATTCTGAAACCGTTTATCATGTCACTCCTCCTTGTCATTTGTACCAAGTTAGTGTAGGTTTGCCTCACGTATTTCATGCACTGTACGTCTGTACCATTGTCGGCTCTTCGCCACCTGTTTTGTTCTGTATTAAATTAATATTATTAATATTATTATGTTACTCATATTAAACGTATTATTATAAAGTATGTACTATGTATTAATACCTATCTATTATATCTACCTCATTCGCTTTGCATAAATATATGTAATAATCCTATATGGTCAAGCAGGTGGAGATATTGTATTGTCATGGATGTCATCGATTTTCATGATAGTAAAAAAATAAAAAATTATCTATACTAAAGTGGTTGACAAATGATTTACTTCACCTTCCGTTTAACCACCCTAAAATCGAGCCATGTATGGGTGCGCATAATATTATAAGTCCACGCCTCTCCGTTTCGACTAGTTACGAATTATATTATAGTATTTACCTATTCGCAAACAGCTCGGTGTTATATGCCTGCGGATAATGTTATTTGTTCTGCATCGTGATATGGAAATAACCGAATACACACTGAAATAAACGTGCAACGATGTAGACGTCTCTGCGGCAAACTCCGCGCCGTAAGTTTGAGCTTCAGTGGTAGGTAAACATTAATAGATACTGTTAAAAATCCTGAGTAGTACTTAGAAGACGCTCCAGGCGTGTTATTCGCACACTCCACAGAGTCGGTATATTATACTGTAATACTATATTATAGGTGATCCGAGTTCTAATGTTGGACTCGATGGCGTATAATTGTACACCCCAATTTTTTGTATACAATAATATTTATTAAAACTAATATACATATCATCAGCCTAATTCGCAATATTGTCCCAACTCCAAAAATGTGATTTTGGAATTAATTGTGATTAAAATTAAGGAAAAAACTGCATTGTATGATAAAGTTGTAACTGATAAATTGTAACATTTTATCCTCCATATGACTTTGATTATGAGAAATGGTCGTATTTCCGATGTGATGATTTTAACAATTAGAAAAAATCATAACTCCATATTAGAAAGGTAAAAATTATGAAGATAGGATATTTGCGAATTGAGAGATGAGATAGGAAATTTTCCGATGAAATGTTTTTCCTTTCTCCTGAAAACTAGTCAATATGGAGTTGAGTTAGTACTGTTTATAAATGTTTGTAAATTTTTTTTTTTGTCTTATATTTATATATTTTCAATGATCGTGTAACCCCTACCTACCTCTGACTATGTAGGTAGACATGATGTATTATTTTTTACCCACCTTAATATTTGCTTACTTAATACTTGCATAACATTTTAAAAAGGTTGAATTAGTTTAATTATAAATGTGTAAAAAAATATTATTTATAAACCACTGCTGATGTAGGTAGTAATGTAGTGTACCTACAAATATAAAATTGAAAATAATAACAGGGTTTTTCAATCATCGATGAACTAGACTACCAAACTAGACGTCCAAAATTGTTTTTGCACCATTCATGTGAAGTTACAACTATTTCTTTAATTGGATAGTAATTTGGTTAGCTTCAGTAGCTACCATTCCATATATTATTAAAATAATCATTGAACACTAGTTCAATTCGTTCCTCTAAAAATAGTTATGTCTTTATTAAAAATACAATATATATATTAATGTAAAGAACCTAGACAATCTTTTTAGCTAACACAAAAGTTGTGTACAAGCACAATACACTTAGTCCAGCAAGAAATGTTCACTCTGAGGTAGGTATAGGTACCTACTAAAGTAAAAAATAAAAATAACTGTGTAGAGATCACATTCTACATTAATTTATTGAATTATAATAACTAATTGTTTAATATTAGTTAGGTACCTTTTCCTACTAAATAGTTATTTTAATTTGTTTAAATTAAATAATATAATATAATATTTAAATTAATATTATATTATTAAATTAAATTAAATTATTTGATAAATGATAAAAAAAAAAGCGGGCAATTTGAAATGGGCCAATGAGAACGTGGTATACATAAGACGCTCTGTGGCGTCCTGGGTTTCCTAATACGCGTACGGGTGTGGTGTAAGTTTGGGTTAAGGACGTTAAGGTGATAAGAAGCACAACACTTTATGTACAACGAATCCGATATTTTATCACAACCAGACAATAGACAATAAAATCTAGTCGTCTACGGGCGATGATCCTTACATCAGACGATGTACGGTTGTTGTACAATTTATAATTTATATACACAGTTGTGTAGACGTAGATATTATTTTGGGTATCCACCTAAATTGGGAAATATATAATAGGTACGTGGGGGAGGGGCATTTTCAATCAAAATAACTATTGTATTATCTGTAACCAATGGGCAATGGCAACCATTTAAACAAATAAAATAGTTTCCAATTTGTATGAGTTGAAACAACATTTATGTATGAACCACCCTAGCTATAGCGACCTATATGAGTTGAAAAACATTGTTACTACTTCTCAAGGTATTGATATAATTTTTTATTGATACGAATCCGGTAGTTTTTGAGTCTATATAGATGAAGAACAAACAAATATACATTTTTATATAATATTAAATACAGGAAAGTAAATGTTAAATTATAATTCATTTCTAGAAATCTGTATTATCATTTTTTATAACATAAATAACGAATAATATAATATAGTACCTATGTACATTATGATTAATGAATAAATATATTTTAATTTTTAGATAATGTTTTCTTAAATTTTTTTTAAAAAGATATCTTGGAAACGATAAACAAATTCCAATAGAATGGGGTAATGAAACAAGTATACTTGATTACTGGATACAAGATTTACCATTAAAAGTTACAACTCACGGATGGCTTTCATCAGGCGAAAACTACACTGGAGTATTTACCATTAACAACGGTATAATAAAACAACTAATATTATTCTGAAAGCTAATTAAAATACCAATACAATATTTTCCATGATCTCAACAAATAATAATAATATTATATTATTAGCATATGTCGACATCGGTGGGTTCAATGTGATCTGTGTGGATTGGAGTAGTATTGCAGATGATCCTATGTATCCAGTTCCTGCATCCTTGACTAGAGCCGTCGGTTCTGCAATAGCTGCATTTTTGGACCGTTTGGTGGATTCCACAGGAATAAATCCATCAGACATACATTTAATAGGCCACAGTCTTGGTGCCCACGTTGTAGGATCGTGTGGTTCTAATTTTAAATCGGGAATAATCGGCAGGATTACGGGTGAGCATTTTAAATCATATAATTAAGTTATTGTGTTTTGAAAAAAAAACACTCAAAAATTAAATAATTATAGTTTTTCAATCCCATCATAATTTCATAAGGAAAATACTACCTTTAACTAAAACTAGGAAACATATCGGTTAACCAACGCATAATTTTAAAAATAAATATAAATTTCTGGTTTTTGGGTATCTATCTATTTAAACGTATGTTACCGTGTTAACGTATGTTACGTATATTACGTACCTAACCATGTACAATTTCAATGTTTAACATTATTGTACATTGAATTAATGTCATATGATTTAAGATTCTGAGCTGAGCGATTAATGTATTAATTTTACAATGACGATGTGTGTTTTTAATAAAATTTTTTTTTTTGTGTCACGATATAAGTACCTAGTCGGAATAATGCTTAGATTTTAAACTTCAGTATCTTTTCTGGTGTTAAAGTGAATCTAGTTGGTGCATTGGGTAAACGAAAAACGGATACCTATAATGTGTTTTATATTATCATATTATATTACTACGATACAAAAATATTTGAATACTCAAAATTTGAAGTGCAACAAAATAGTAAATAAAAAATAAACTATTAGGTTTGGGTGTCATTTAAGTTACAAATGTATGATAGCGTCCATCATATTTCGGTATTTGTTCTAAATTTGTTTTTGTATATTGTGTAACCTAACCTACAATATATTATATTGTATTGTGTCTTATAGGTTTAGATCCAGCCGCACCCGGATACGAGATCATACCCGTTCATTTACCACACTTGAGCAAAAACGATGCCCGATTTGTCGACATTATCCACACTTCAGGAGGTACTATTGGCTACCATAAAAGTATCGGCCACGCTGACTTCTTCCCCAACTCCGGATCAGCGCCTCAACCAGGATGCTTTTCATTATTCAAATTACTAGATTTTAGTAAGTATTCTGTCAGTCTGTTAAGGTGATTTGAGTTAATGAATAATTATTGTTTATTGATATTATAGGCAGGGTTGGGCAGTGTCTTCGGTACAACTAACTTAGATACAATTGTATCTCGTATATCGTATATTGTATCGATACAATTATTTGAAGTATCGAGTATCTCGTATAGTTGTGTCACGATACATTAATGCGATATACCTAAGTCTGCTTTTTACTATCAAAATTAATATGTAATTTAATATAACACTTATTTTGAGAATACAAGTTCAGGTAAGTTTACTAGTCGCAGGTGATTTTCTGTAGGCTGTAGGTTGTTGGAAATTATTTTACAACCATTACCAATAAATAATAATATATAGTTATATCTGTGACAGCGACACGCACATTGAATGGGATTTTACATCTTTGGTCGATTGTAAGCTCCACCAGAATACCGGTTTGATAAAAAGGTAATTAAAAGGTCCAATGTAAACTCCGCCAGTTTTATTTTCGTACCTTCTCACATTACATAAGTTGACATCCATTGCGATGGATCCACGTCAAAATTGATATAATTTTCAAAGTTAGATCTATATAATATATTCATTTATTAATATTTAAAAATAATTTTCATAATTTCTGAAAACAGTATTTCCAATAATGATATCGGCAGTAGGTAACTTACGTATATTTGACGATTATAGAGTGAAAGTCATACTATAGAGAACTTTATTTATTTTTGGCTACATTTTGATATATTTTATGTAAAATGTATTATTTACTTAACTATTATATAATAATGTGGACGATTCATTAATATTATGAAAATTATGAATATTATATTATAATATCAATTGTATACTCTTAGCCTTTAGGTTAGTAATTTTTAATTTTGTAAATTTATTATTTACGTAACTATCTATTATGTTTTAATGTGGACGATTATTAATTATTTTTAATAAAATTATGAATATTATATCAATTGTACCTATATACTCTTAGCTGTAGGTTAGTAATTTGTAAACATTTTTGGCTTAATTTTGATATATTTTATGTAAAATGTATTATTTATATAGGTGTAACTATTATATTTTAATGTGAACGAATATTGATTATAATAAGGGGTCAATGGATAAAGGTGTTAACTAACATTTTTGAAATTGAAAAGTTAACATACACTACCGCTTTTATCCACTACAACTAATGATCAATTCTTCTTATAACACGTAGGTAACAATAACTATTATTGGTAACCACTAAATAAACTCTTATCAAATTGTGATATAATGTTTATAACGTTATAACACCCCTTTTCATGCAATAAAATGCATTTCTGAAAAAATGTAGTTAACACCTTCATCCACTGACCCCTTCTATTATTATTATCATTATTTTTTTTTTTCAATAATAATATATTATATTAATTTTATACTGCTTCTTGATTTTCTTCACTGGCGGAGTTTACATGAACTACATTTTACCTAATTTTTTTTTTGGCGAAGTTTACATACACTTAATTTTACCTGTTTTTTTTTTTTACTGGCGGAGTTTCGGAGTTTACAGTAAAAAAAGGTACTTGTGGTGGAGTTTGCATGCACCCACATCTTTATTGTAAGTCTGCACCTTATAAGATTTCTGTAATTTGTACATGTATAGTGCATGACGGCGATAAAGTAGGTAATGTTTTTATTATTTTCTCTATTATTTGCCTTTCCCATTACTTAACAAAGTGGCCATCCCCACAATCATAAATATAATTAAAAAAAGTCCTGTGACCCGTTCCTTTTTCCGGACAAAATTATTGAACTGAAAATTATTGAACCGTTCAATAAGTATTATTGTGTTATAGAATTACATTATACGTTTTTTGAATTTGGAAAATTTGAACTGGGGATCAACTACATGTGCATACCACATGTCCACATAAACACATACTACAAAATGAACAATAATATTATTATATCTGCAACCTACCTGTAGTTCATATTATGTAATTTTATAATTGATAATTCTTATCCCAACCGAAACCAATTATACATTACTACATTAGTATTACCTACCTATATCGGTATATGCCATTTGGTGACAAACAATAAATTAACCAAAATTATCAGAATCAACAATAGGTAAATAACTTTTTAATAACAACAATCATCTAACCTAACCCAAACTTACCAAAAATGTAATAAATTTACCCAATAGAACACCAACTATAGCATAGTAACAGACAGTGGCATACACAGGGGTAGGTTTCTAGGGTTCTGACTTCTGACCATAGACAAGAATACTAATCTTCTGACACCCCTCTCTCAGGAATTTCTTTTTTCTACAAAAAAAATCTTATTTTCAAAATTTTGATATACACAGATCAATTGTTGGTCATTTTAAATAGATATAGAATAAATTGTTGAATATGACAGAGACATCGATAATCAGTGGTTTTAGTTTTGTTTTGCCTGATTTAGAACATTGCTAAACGTCTGCCATAATCGATGGTGCATCATCGTCCTACGGTTATTACAACGTTTATTACGGCCAGAAGAGGCTCTATAGATGACCGGGTTAAACACTATAATTGTAGACTAAATTTGAGACTAACTATAATTTGTTAAATAAAAACTGTTAAGAAAAAAAAGTGTAAATTATTTACTCAAGTAAAACCCTAATCGAACTAAAATCCTGCGTACGCTACTGGCAACAGATTTATTGATTAATTAATCATAATATTTTAATATTTATTACAGTGCATTGTAGCCATTCAAGATCGTATGAACTTTATGCAAACTCCGTGTACAATTCTTTAGTTGCGATAAAATGTCCCTCGTGGGATGATTATAAATCCAACAAGTGTGACAATAACACTCTTGAGTTTATGGGACACAACACATCACCAAGGTGAGATTATATAGGTACTTAAAAATAGATATTAAAACGATCGATGTTACATAGTTAAAATTTTCATCGTTACCCACTCACGCTTGATCCAATTTAAGTAATTTTCTTATTAATCAAATTTTTAATTAAGTAATGAATAAGTTAGCACTTAGCAAGTAACATTTTACACATTATATAAATATAGTTTGATTATTTTCAGTTTGTGGGACATATAACAATGGTTAATATTTTAAAAAAAACATTGTTTATGGTATTAATTTATATTTTATTGTACATATGTGACCACAACATTCAAAGATTTAACATTTACAACAGTAAACATATTGTTTTTAATCTTTATATATAAAAATCTTTATTTAACCATAAAATTATTGTCAATTGGTAGTTGTATAAAAATGAAACTTGACAAACATTTAATTTGGAGAGATTAATAATGGAATTTTTTTCTTATGCTTGAATATTTATTATTAATTTATCTGCGTACCTATCTGATCAATAATATCTGATAACGTTTTTATTTCTAGTGCAAGAGGTAATTTCTTCTCGAAGACTGGAAGCACCCCACCTTATAATACTAATGTATAATATATTTTATTGTATTCATTAGAAACATATATGAATCGTAAAATTAATATTTTCATACATCAAGTATAAAAGAGGTGTGTTGTATTATATTGTTATATGTATATATAAAACGTTTTTAATTTTCAATTTAAATACAATTTATATTTATTTCAAGTCTAATGTTCTAATGTTTTACCTAGTTTAAAAAAAAAAATGAATCAACATGTTTGTTATTATAATATATTTTATAATATATAGACGAACTTGAGTTCAACGATTGTTGAAATCCAACATGCTGATATTCATAAATCAGTATTATGAAACATATATTATAAGTAGGTACCTACCTACGCTCAAAAAATAAATTCATTAACTGGTTAATAATTTACTGTACATAAAAAATCTAGTAAAATGTCTGGTACACCGGGTTGTAATAATAACGATTATGTTTTAGTTGTTACAATTTGAAAAAATTATAATCCTGAAGCCAGTGGAGGGCTTACGTTTTCCCTTATTATTAGTGTTAGTTTTACTTGGCTCATAATATATAAATATATACAATTTAGAAAATTCCGCGAAACACAATTATATACCTAAAGTGTAACATTTAATGCTAGCTATATAATATGTATATCTAAGTAAACATAAATTATGCCTTAAAAACTCGCAGATAAGGTAACATAGCCGCCGCGAACGCGTTATTGATATTTAAGTACATTTTAAAAGAATAGGTTAAAAGAATAGGAAGACGAATTTCGTCGAGATTTCAATTTTCAAAAACGTGCGTCAACAAAAGTGAATTTATTCATTGTGGCATCGTGCTAAATCATTACATAATCCACATATTTTATTGAATGTTTTTCATCACACGTAATTTAAAATTTAAATATCGATGGATATTATTCCTACAAATGTTTCAATATTATTTGTTTTGCATACGATAGAAATAACTCATTTTGTTAAAATATTTGGAAAAATACCGATATTGTTAGGTGTAAATATGACATGTAAAAAAGAAACCCATTTGAATCAATATTGGCTTTATTGAATATACACATCTGACTTAATCTATTCTACTCCATACATGCTTAAATACATCCATCGTATTGTTATTATACCTACTTCATGTGTTTCACTTTTTTTAATTGTTAAAACCAGTTATGATAACACTAGATAATAGTAATATTGGTAAATGTACATTTTCCCACCTATACATTTTTATACCGACATTCCTTTCCCACCATTTCTTTTTTTATAATTTACTATTTAATAATATACATACATATATACATTATACAGGGTGTTTCTGAAATGGATGAGTTAACTAGAATATACGTACTCAGTGAGATGGCCCAATGAAGATTGTTTTGGAATTTTTTTTCTATCTTCAAAATCTAGGTTCATACAAATTATTTTTAGAACATATAAAGTAATCTTACAATAGAACATTATCTTAAATTTGAAAATAAATGGTGAAGTTGTATTTTTTGCAAAATTCTCATATAAATCGAGGTGTCACATCATTTTCGCTCTATCTATTATTGTAAAATAATCATAATTAAATACACTTTATTTTGAAAACCTATTTTTATTTAAAGTTGTTCAATGTAGAACAATGCACTTTTCCTCCCGACGATGTAATGAACTCCCAAGTTTTTTCCAACAAATTTGGTGTTTGATGAATGATATCAGCTACTTTATTAATTCTCATAAAAATTTCATTTCTATTATTTAATTCTTTGTCATAAACGTGTTATTTCTGCATATTATTCAATGTTAGTGTACTCCATTGTTCAAAATTGACAAGCCCGAAAATAATGTGACACCTCGATTTGTATGAGAATTTTGCAAAAAATACAAATTTACCATTTATTTTTACATTTAAGATAATGTTCTAAAAATAATAAGCATAAACCCAGATTTTGAAGATAGAAAAAAAATTTAAAAACTATCTTCATTGGGCCATAACACTGGATACTCGGATACTAGATACCTCATCCATTTCAGAAACACCCTGTATATATACATATAAATATTTATTTATTTTAAAACGTATAGGTATAACCACTAAACCACTACTAAACTGCTTTGAACAGTTTTGGTATAAAAGCTTCACTCAATGTTCATGACGATGTAAGATTGTATAAGAATGTTATCTTAATACTTTAATAGTCTAAGCAATTGATTGGGTTTTGGACACAATTTTAGATTTCAATGTTACCCACCTAATTCAGTATTAATAATATACTATTATACTTTTATATTTTATTTAAAATTATATTTTCACTTAACTTGTTTTAAATATTATTCTTTTTTATTATTATTATTTTATTAGTAATTTTTATTGTTTCAAGTAGTTTAGTTGATCAAAAATATACATCTATAATTTATTATATTAATGAAAATGTATGGAAATATATTTTGTTTTTAGACAGTATTAGATAATAGGCAAAAAATAATAATTTCATATTCAATTATAAATAAAATAAAAACTTTTTAAAACAATGGGGGGGGGGGGAATGTCCACGATTCGGTAGTATTAATACTATGCTTGCATTCCACTGGCCAGTGTTACGATGGTGTCATCGACCATCGTTGATAGTTAATAATAATAATGAATAATGGTCTATAGTCTATACGTAATAACGAATAGGGGTATAGCTCAACCAATTCCATAAGATTATTATAACAGGAAATAATGTTTTTTTCTTGTCGTCGTTGTAGTTTCCAAAGAAGTAGAAATTTAAAACTCTTTCGATTCCATATTATTGTAATCCTCTTTTACTTTTTAGTATTATCACAAAAAATTCAAAATATATCTATATTATGCAGCCGTTTTAATGTTACGCACAATTATTAAATTATTATTTAGCAATGACCCGTGGTCAACAGTCAATTTTTTTGAGAGGGGGGAGGTTAGCATTATTCAAAGTAAAGTGGCCGTATACCTCAATTATTATTTACATGGTCCTTAGACTTACAATTTCATTTGAGAGACTTTTGAAATTTCTGAAAGGCTAGGCTCCCAGAATCCCGCACCCCTATCGATGACTGCGTATGAATTTTTCTCACCTGATTACCTGAATGAGTGACTATTATAGATGTGAGACTCATCTTAGGCATTTGGGGTCGGAGAGCTGTTATGCAAATCGCTGTTCTCTCCCCGGTCCTCGATAATACGAAAAAAAAAAAGGCATTTAAAATCTTTTTACTATCAGATAGGACGAATAAATCAACACTACAACACAAAGTCTCCTATGAATACCAAAAAAGTGTAGCATTTATCTACTATATCTATCTATATAACTAATAGATATCATAATGTCGTATTACCACTATTTAACTTTAATCTTTTTTGGTATAGGTTATATATAATATTCTCGGGCGTAGGTACCAGGTGCGTGACGCTGGCACCCGCAAGTTTGAATTTCAACTCAAAAACCACATCAGTAATTGTTATACAATTTGTACAAATTTGTAACCCCAATTCCAAAACTTGTACACCCCCCCGTCATCCTTAAAATCCAAAAACGATTTCCTGGTGCCAGCGTTACACCCCACTTTTTGTACAGTCGACTTTTTGACTCCAAAATGGTACCAACGATTGTTATTTCATTTGTACACATTTGTAATCCTAACTTAAACATTTGTACACCTCCCTGAATGTCCCAATATAATTTCAATGGTGCTTACTTCAAGCTGCCGCACGGATTTTTTTCGATCGAATCCAGACCTCTTCTAAAATTTAGTAACAATTTAGACATTTAGTAACTAATTGTATCTGACATCAAACAATTTGTAACCAAACAGTTTCCGAGAAAACTCAATTTCCATTTCGGGGGCCTAACATTTTATTAGGTTACAATATCTGATACCTACAAGACTTTTTGACAATCTTCCAATTATATTTGACTTCAAACTGCATGTTTATGAAGATTATTTTTTTTGTGTGTCTGTGTACACGATAAGTAGTCGAAATAATGCTTAGATTTTCAACTTCTGTATCTTGTTCGATGGGAAAGTGAATATTATTGGTGCTTGGGCAGGTCAAAATTCCCAATAGCTTTCAAAAGCGCGGGGAAAACAGCATAAAAATTAAGGAAAAATGGGAATTTTTACGGAAAAACGGTTTTCCACAAAATTGATATTGGTTTTTGGTCTAACTCTAAAACAAATGAAATTTTCACTGGTCGTTTATATTTGCATTTTCTATACACGATAAAATGTTGAAAATATTTTGACTCTTTTTGGGCTGTTTACTTTTTTTTTCTATAAATATCAATAAAATTGTATTTGTTGAGTAAAAAAGCGTGAACATTTAATGCAACGCTCCTGATATATTGTTACAATAGCAGTTTAAAAACACATGTGCACAATTTTTTTTTATAAGCATTTAAAGTTCAAATTTTGACAAAATTTAATAATTATTTTGTAGTTAAAAAATTATAAAATGTTCAACTAGGTATTATAATAGTTATATATAGCTAAGGATTGAACATTTAAAACACGGTTCCAAGTAAATATGTAAATGTTATATTTAAGATATACCTAGGTAGGTACCTACATGTTAAATATAATTTTTATTTTTTGCATAAAAATAAGAAAGATGGTAAAAGTTATAGGTACCTATTTAATTATAATTATATTATTCAGTACCTACATTTAATGGGCCACAATTCAAATTTTTTTTACATAGGTATACGGTAATTGGGCCACCAAAATGTTATATTATTTTATTACAGGTAAGCCCGGTAATTGGGCCACTAAAATTTTATATTTATAATAGGAAGACCCGGTGATTGGGCCACTATTACATTTTAAATTGTAATAAAATAATATTTAAGGGGATTGGAAGCGGCGATTTTCTGTCTTTGTCTAACACACGTGCAACATAGGATTATAGACGTGTTCTATTTCCAACGTACCGATTAATCTAGTGAAGCGATAAGAATTCTGAAAACAGATTTGAATTTTTCGTCAAGTCTACTTAAGATCGACTTTCCCACATTTTTGATATTATCCCCCAAAAATCTTAAAAATGATATATTAAAAAGGGTAATTAAAAAATTGCCATATTTAAATTTTTGGAGAAGTTTTAATCAAAATATCAAAAATGTGAGAAAGTCGATCTCAAGTAGACTTGACGACAAATTCAAATCTGTTTTCAGAATTCTTATCGCTTCACTAGATTAATCGGTACGTTGGAAATAGAACACGTCTATAATCCTATGTTGCACGTGTGTTAGACAAAGACAGAAAATCGCCGCTTCCAATCCCCTTAAGAGGATGTCAGAGCACTATTTGTTTACTCTAAGATTACTTAAAATCATAAAAAAAAAATATTCTGCGTAAATGCGTTTTGTCTATGTTGCGCGTATACATATTTTTATATAAATTGATACAAGTCCTAATACTGCAGCGCACACGAAACTTTACTCGAAGCGACTGCGTATGCCTTATCAAAAGGTAATAAATAATCCAATATAATATGATGTAGAATTATCAATTGTCATCAAATGAAATGGATAAAAAATAGTCATACGCGTATAGTGTGCAAAGATTATGAAACATTGTAAATTGTGATCGTTTATTTGATTAGCAAACTATACGATCGACATCTAGTAGTACACGCGTGGTTCGTAATATAAAGTAGGTACAATGGAAGTGTTAATGTCCGAAAGAGGAAAAAAATTATTAATTTTTAATAATTATAAATTTTCTTTTGCTCATGAGTCAATGTGGCAAAACTCGTTGGTGATGTGCCAAGAAAACATGTCCAGCCAAAATGTATACAATTTCAAATAATATACAAATGGGTACGTACATGGGTACCTACATACTCGAACTACAAATGCCGTCGAGTCTTTTCATTCACATTTCAAAAATAATTTCTTTATGTCACATCCAAATATACATAATTTTTTAAATGTTTTATTGCAACTTCAATCAGAAGTTTATATTAAGATTAAAAGTATAGGAACAATAAAAACAAGAAAAGGAACTTTAGTTCGACAAAATTTTATTCTTAATGAAATTAAAAAATATGAAGATGGGGAAAAAACCCGATTTGAATAATATGTACAGTCTGTATCATGTTATTTAAAAAAAAAAATTATTATATTAGAAAAAAATTATTTATATTTATATATTTATTTATATTTGTAAAATGAGTACCTATTGGCATTATTTATAAAAATTATTTATTATTGGACTGACTTTATAGATCGAAATGTCTTGTATTATATTTTTATGTACCTATTAGAAAATGTTTTTTCATATTATTAATTTTTTGACAAACTTTATGGTCCTTATATTATATTTTTAAAATGAGTACACATAATGTATTAGCATTCTTTATAAAAATTATTTCATATTTGACTAATTTTATGGACCTTGTTGTATATTAAATTAGTTAAATCTGTATGGAAATATTTAAAAAAAATATTAATTAATTGACGAATTGTATTTTTATATGTTAAAACAATAATAATTAGTTAATAAGCATTATCATATATTCGTATTAATAGTATATTTGTGTGCTATACTTTTATGGCCCAATCTCCGGGTACACTTTAAAAATATAGATTTAATTTGTGGCCCAATCTCCGGGTAGTAAAATGTAAACAAATATTTTATTCGAATCAGGTAGTTAAAATGTGGCCAAATTAACGGGCGCCCCATTTAATAAAATTATTTAAAACAAAAAATATAAGATAGTAGGAATGCAATAAAAGGTTTAATTACGATTATAAATCGTTTTTGGATTTTACGGGTGACTGGGGGGTGTACAAATTTTGGAATTGTGGTTAAAAATTTGTACAAATTATATAACAATTACTTATGTGGTTTTTGGGTCGATAGGCCAAATACATCGAAATCCGGGTGCCAGCGTCACGTGATGCTGGCACCCGGAAATCGTTTTTGGATTTTACGGGCGACGGGGGGGTGTGCAAATTTTGGAATTGGGGTTACAAATTTGTACAAATTGTATAACAATTACTGATGTGGTTTTTGGGTCGATAGGCCAAATACATCGAAATCCGGGTGCCAGCGTCACGTGATGCTGGCACCCGGAAATCGTTTTTGGATTTTACGGGCGACGGGGGGGGGGGTGTACAAATTTTGGAATTGTGGTTACAAATTTGTAAAAATTGTATAACAATTACTGATGTGATTTTTGAGTTGAATTTCAAACTTGCGGGTGCCAGCGTCACGCACCTGTAGGTACCTACATTTTTCGATTGCGTATTATATAATAAAATGTATGTATTGAATTGGCAGCGGTCGGATAGATGTTTTTTTACACATCGCTAAGTCGTTGATCGCAATGATAAAAAAAATCTAATTTCACTGTTTACGACCAGTGACGACGATGTGCAGGTGCGTATTACGTAATGTATACATAATATTTTGTTTAAGGTAGGTACATAGTCATATTGTATATAAAACACATCCAATAAAATATAGCCATCACGAGAGAGTCTGCGATGATTTAAACAAACACACACCACATGCTCAAAACATTGATCACTTTAAAATAGACTGTATAATATTATATTTAGGCATAGGTTTCGAAATCTATATATATATATATATATATATAGGTATTTCGGACGTATAGTTAAATTTGTTTGGTTGGTCTGTTTTGGCGACAGCAGCCGTCGCGCAGGTTGATTGCCACAATTACTAATGAGTTGATTCGGACTTCCACAAATGGCTGGTTACCTACACACACGACCGTGGTTGAAGAGTGGATTGTCCTAGGTCCTTCTAAAAAAAAAAAAACTACAAACTAATAATAACGTAATCACAAGATAATATTATTGTGCAAACGTTAATGTTTAAATAGTTAATAATATACAAACAAGGGCGATGGTCAGCTACAACCACAGTCCTGGTATAACTCCCGATATATTATATATACCTATTATACATTTAACTTTTAAGTATAAACGCATATAGTCACAGTGTCGGACTCGGTATCGGACATTTTCGTTTTGGTAAAATATGAACGTGACCGCTGCAATAGTCATGTTGTTTGTGTTCCAGTTGTTCCATTTCGGTCTGTATATAAAACAATTAGGACACACATAGGTACTCAATGTCAAGTCGGACAATATGTATATGGGCGATTGTAAACTCCACCAGAATACTGGTTTGATAAAAAGGTAATTAAAAGGTCCAATGTAAACTCCGCCAGTTTTATGTTCGTACCTTCTCAGATTAAATACGTTGACATCCATTGCGATGGATCCACGTCAAAATTGATATAATTTTCAAAGTTAGATCTATATTAATTTATTAATATTTAAAAATAATTTTCATAATTTCTGAAAACAGTATTTCCAATGATGGTATCGGCAGTAGATAACTTACGTATATTTGACGATTATAGAGTGAAAGTCTATAAGTACTATAGAGAATTTTTAACTTTAGTAATTTTTAATTTTGTCCAATTTATTATTTACTTAACTACCTATTATGTTTTAATGTGGACGATTATTAATTATATTAATTATTATTACTAAAATTATGAATAATATATTATATTAATTTTATACTGCTACTTGATTTTCTTCACTGGCGGAATTTACATGAACTGAATTTAACCTGATTTTTTTTCTGTGGCAGAGTTTACATACACTTAATTTTACCTGTTTTTTTATTGCCGGAGTTTACAGTAAAAAAGGTACTATTGTGGCGGAGTTTACATGCGCCCATGTATATTATGTATCGGTAGAGAGTACGATAAGTTATCGTCGATAACCGTAATAATATTAGGGCGCTTTTAAATTGGGCCTACATTGAGCGGGTAGTAGAAATACTATAGTAAATACTAAATTAAATTTCTCCCAGAATTTTTAAGTTTCTAAAATAGGAATAGTAAATTGTGCACCCGGAATTTTTTGGTTTCTAAATTAGGTATAGCGTAAATCACGACAGGGATTTTTCGGTTATTTAAAATGGGTATAGTAAATTGCGCCCATAGTATCTTGGTGACCTTGAATAACTGTTGTTCATATGTTGGCGAATACTTGAAGATGCTTATATGTATCTATATGCTTATGTATGTGTAAGATGGTGTCTATGTCTATTACTATGCTGACATTTAACTTATAATTTTTTTACTTTTTTTATTATAAATATAAAGACCCTCGGCAACATGGGTCATAGGGTTTACAATAGTACTTTATAATTGTATTATTAATTACTATTAAGTATTAACTCTATATCATATAATTTACCAGCGATTTTCTATTATTAAAATGTCTTATTGTTATTTACTGCATAAATTAACCTTCAACAAAAAAACATTTCAAACAAACCAAAAAATCATTTTTTTTTTGACAGTGATAGTCACCTCCTCGTGTTGTCTTCTGGATAATGCTAAATGACTATCATAACAATTATATTTCTATTGTGTTTTTTACTACATTGACCTGAAAAATATCAGGCGCAATTTACGTTTGTCCTAATATTATATTACTGTCGATAATTAACTAAACGACATAACTATAATATGATAATACTTAGAACTATTATTATAGATAAATGAAACTCGTTTAATACATGATTGTAGATCGAAAGACTAGTTTAATACTTTTTAATAGATCGAAGAAATTATTTAAGTTTTTTTTCTATCCAATGAAAATTCTTTATATTTTTTCTTATAAGTTTTTAAAAACAAATAATATATAATTCATGAAATTTGATATCGTTTTCACATTTTAGCTCAGTTTCTAATATTCAATCGAAAAGATGATAATACTTCGAATGAGATCAACGACACTTCCCAAAAAGAGATCAGAGAGAGATATTTTGTCAATGGATCCGAGTTGGATTTCCTCTATTGGAACTCGTACGTACACACGAATTTCGGCATAGTTGTATTTCGTTTGAACACGTCATTATCAGGTCAACAAAACGATCTGTACATTATAATAATATCAAAATTAAACACATTAAATAAGTCTAGAAACCTCTGACTGTTTTTAGTCTAGTTGACAGTATTATTTGTTGAATTTAAAAATATAAAACATGATCAGTATTATAATATCAGTTCTATAGTTATAGGTCGGTACACAAATAATCATTATACATATACCAGATATACCTACGTCCCAATTACCAGGTGATTAGTTTAACGCAGAACACTGATTATTCAAAAAGTATTAATGTTATTGGAAATATTTTTTTCACATGGTTTTAAGTTGTTACAAAAAAACTTTTTTTGTAACGAAAAATTATATTTTTAAATATTTTTTATCTTTATCATTTTCTAATTTTTTTACTTTTTTGAATCACAGCAAACAGTTTTAATTTCATATTCGAAAGCAAAATATTTTGAATGTTCAATGATAAAAGTATCACCCAGGATATAAATAGAATTTGATCTATTAAACAGGAGATGCTAACCACAACAAATTAAATAAATCTTAAACATTTTAGGACTCGAATGCCACCCTCTCACACTATACAATATACCGTATAGCTTTTCAATATAAGTATTATCATAATTTGTTAAGACCAATCGAATAATGCTATAATATGGTAGAATATAATGTTTGGATTATTTATATTCAATAAATAATAAATATATTAAATTAATATATTATTATTAATTCAATGTTAACATATAGTATTCTCGGAAATGATAAACCAATAGAAATTGAATTTGGTAACGAATCAAGTGTACTCGACTATTGGATTGACGATTTCCCTTTAAAAGTCATTACTCACGGATGGCTTGCGTCAGACGATAATTTCACTGGAGTGTTTACCATTAAAACCGGTACGTTGTATGTTAAGACAAGCCCGTTTGCATGATTTTGAATAATATCCTAAGAACTATACGGTACAAATGATAAACCATATTTAAATATTTAATTAATTATGAATTGCTAAGGTGTACGACCAATAGTAAACTAATACAAAAATATGTTATTCTATACAAGTACTACAGATTATAATAATTATATACACATTTTTATACGTGTGCAAAGTTAGCCCCCCCCCCCACACTTTTTAAGACATTTTCCAGAATTAGTGTATAACCATTTGTAACCAAGTTTTTAGAATTTGTAACCTCATATTTTTCAAGCAATGGGTAATTTCTCAAAGAGAGGCTGCCCTCCCCCCCCAAGTCAACAAAATCGCCCAAAACAGTTTGTAACTTATTAAACTCTAATTTGTAACTATTTGTAACCATGATATGTACTATGAGTATATAGGTGCAGCCCAGTGGCGTATTTAGTATTTTTTGTATTGGGCGGATGACAAGAATTTTAGCTTACAGATTAACATGTCATAATTAAAATATAATAATACACATGTATATAAAGAGCCATGGGGGCGGATTTGTCCTCATATAAATAAATACGCCTAAACAAGCCCCAGGTGCAGCCTACCTATAAATTATAATATACTTAACCGTGCAATAATGAAGGCTGTTTACAATATGTTTTTATAATATTCATAGCATATGTCGATGCTGGAGGGTACAATGTGATATCGGTGGATTGGAGCAATATCGCAGAAAATATAATCTATCACAAACCGGCTATCATGACCGCGCCCGTGGGTAATGTGGTCGCCGAATTTTTGGATCGTATGGTCGCATACACAGGGACACAAGCGTCGGACATACATTTAATAGGTCACAGTCTCGGTGCCCACGTCATGGGGTCATGCGGTTCTAATTTTAAGTCGGGAAAAATCGGCAGGATCACCGGTGAGCAGATTAGACGTATATAATACCTACTAATACAATGTTAAATAATGACCAAGTGATTTATTATTGTAATTTATAACCAAACGTTTGATCCCAACACAACACCACTCGAAGTAAATAATATTGATCAACGTTGAATTATTAATCGGATCGAAAAAAAAGTGACATCCTCGAGTCATGACCGACGCTCTGATTAAAAATGAATATTTTGCTATCAGTTTGTCAATATCAATTAAATATAAGGGAGCCACTATATATATATACTGATTTTCGTTAAAAGCATTTTAAATTGCATTATTCAACATTCGACCATGCGTGATACGTAGGTACTATAATATATATGTATAGTGTATATCACTTTTACACAACTTTAGTTAAAATACAATTCATAATAAAATAATGTTAAAATATAAAGTTTTTTAATTGGAAAACGAGAGATTTTTTTTATTACAGCGTTTGATGATGTCTTTGAATGTTATTATAATTAGTTTTGGTAACGATTAGTTTATTCGTGAAATATCTATTGAACATTTGAACGTATAGGATATAGGCTATAGTCATAATATTATACCGGCAGTGTTCATTATTTATACTTATAAATTGTTACCATATGGCATAATATACCATATACCTAGTACTCGATAATTTTTTTTCGCATAGGTACTATTATATTATCATAATATAATATTATGTAGCGTAATGTGCGCGTAATCGATAAAATACAAAGTTAAAATTTACACTTAACGTAACATATTAATATAGTATTTTAAGACACAGCGGTTTAATATAGGTCTTGATCCGGCTGCCTTGGGGTTCGAGTTTATTCCTTTCCAGAATGAACGCTTGAGCATAGACGATGCCGAGTTTGTGGACGTGATACACACGGCCGGAGGGACTCTTGGTGTTATGGAAAGTTTGGGCCACGCCGATTTCTATCCCAACGGTGGAAAAGCGCCCCAACCGGGATATGACGTCTTGTTCAGGATGGTAGAGTCCAGTAAGTAAACACTACTATAATTGCCAATTCTGAGATGTGTCTATTTAGGCACGTTGTCGACGAAAAATATTGTTTTAGTTTGTCTAATCATGTTCGGCATCGCGCAATCGATAAACGATGAATAACTATATTGTTTAGCTTAAATAAACTGTTTATTGTTATGATAAGCCTCGTTAGTGAAATATTAAAAATAAAATATTTGTAAATAAATTAAATAAAAAATATATATGAAATATTTATAGATATAAACTATAATTTTTTTTTTTTTTTAAATCTTTTTATCAGGAAGTGCGATCAACCTTTTTCATGTTCAAACTTATTCTAGCACATATTCTTATTATGCCTTTGTGCATAGATTGTATATTATCGAATAAAAATAAAAAAAAAATTTTAAAAATATTGATTGTTTTTGTAATAATTAACAAATTAGTTTAGGATTTGACAGTTGAAAAAGTATATATAGTCCAGTCAAGGAATGAGGTGTAGAGTGCGTTAGCAGGTAGCTTAGAGATTCCTTCGGAAATTTGTTCAGGGGGCTTAGGGTGTTAACATACCAAAAGAGAAATGCCTGAACAGCGTGTATGTTGCCGATGAGGACGATGAAGACGACAAAGAGCCCTTTCAGCAAGAGCCACCCACTACTGCCGACGAAGATGCCATGGACGAACTACCTGGGCACTCAAGTTCCAAGAGGATGAAAATATGATTTCATATAAAATAGAGAGTATAAAATTAAGAATTAATTGAGAACAATGGGATTTACAATCATTGTATTGATACTTATCTGTAAAATTAAGTGTGTATTGTCAAAGTGTATTATCATTATTTTTGTCTGTTTTATTTAGGTAATAACTTTCTTAAAAGTGTGGCCTCGTATATTATTAGATGAACGAACAAAGGTTGTGGGTCAAGAATATGATAATATATAAACAAATTTTTTGAAAATTGCAAAATGTTATGAAAGTTTTAAAATAGACTATATTATTTTATATTATAGCTTCTATTCTCGTTTCTCGGTCGTTATGTGAGTGCCCGCACTTGATAAGGATGATAATTTTAATAAAGCGTATTTTTTATAGATGGTGAAGGGTGGAAAAATGTTTCTGAGAGGCAGTGATTGAAAAATATATGGGAGGGGAAGCCCCTACAATTGTTTGCTCTAATTGCATTATGGGCAGGTTTGAGATAAATAATTAACATAGGTGTATATATACTGAAAGGGAATTTAAATATCTCCAACTTCGTTTCTATGCATATTTTTCGTTTATAAATAGGTTTAGACAATATGATGGATTGTTTGACGAATATAGTGAGGTAAAATGATTTTTTTGTAATATTCTACTTTATTCGAAGGTGTAGCTCGAAAACAGTTGCGAATTTGAAAAAAACATATAACATAAAAGTTTTAAATAATTTCATGAGCTTTATTTTGTTATAAAAAAAAATTTACCTCCTATGAACCATTTTCGAGATATAAACGAAAAACCTAAAATGTGAATCTTTAACCCCCCCTCCGGCTCACCACCTACGTGTTTACGTGTTAGGACTTTTGGTATGTTAACACCCTAAGCCCTCTGAATAAGTTTTCGAAGGAATCGCTAAGTTACCTGCTCAAGCACTCTACCCTTCATTTTGGGTCATTCATTGACTGGACTAATATTATATCAAATCTAAGAAATTATTGCAATATACAATTTAATATTTTTATGCAATGCTAATATTATGGTAAAATATGTTATGTAAACTGTCTTTATACAAAATAAATAGTACAAACACATTTAACCTCTCAGTCAGTCACGAAAGTGTGCACGTATTAAAATTAATGTACCTACCTATATCTATGTACAATTATTTTAAATGTTGACAGAGTAACCGTTCAGAAAAGAACACATTAAATACGCGTTACAATTATTTCATACTAATATTAAATTGATTACAGTAATTGGCAGTCATTCGAGAGCGTACCATCTCTATGCTGACTCAGTCTACAATAGAAAATCTTTAGTCTCGACACAATGCAATACGTGGTGGGCCTTTAAGTCAGACGAGTGTGTAAACAACTCTAAAATTCTAATGGGACACGACGCAATAACCAGGTGAATACATTATATCTGAAATTGGCATAAGCGGTCGGAATCCCAATCTATAATGGTCAATAATTATTACAAACAATTTAATTGTAATCGTTAATCCAATGTACCTAAATTACTTTTTTAGTGAGAATTGTAAACATTTGAAATCTATACATATACCTACATTGTCTTACACTAATTATAATAATATGGTTGATAGTATCATAGGTCACAAAATATACTTGCATTAATAATCAATATGGTACTATTTTTCATTATAGAGAAACGTTAAGAGGTCGTCACACCCTCATGTGTTGTCTCCTTACAAATGTACAACATACCAAAAAATGTTTTGGGTGGGACAACTTTTATTTTTTTGTGTTTGTAGTAGTGTCTCCAAAATTTCTGAACATATAGGGTAGACAATTAACTATACATAGTGCCTTTATTTTAGATAACATAAATACGATAAAAGTTATTTGCTTCTAAACATTTTTTATTTTTTTTTTATCATTTGCTTGTAAAAAAATGATTGGATGATTGGAAAAGAACGCTGTTCACAGATAAAGTTCTTCTATACGTGTTGTGCAAATTTGGTAGTTCTTAAAAAATAAAAAATTGTTACCTGATTTGATTTTTTACTTATTTAAAAAAAATTGTCCAGTAAAAGTATTGGTTCTGGTAAAGTTCCGGTTTTTAAATTAATTTAAATAAGGGTTCCGGTTCCAAAACCGGTTCTTTTCGGTGAGGTTCCAGTCCCTGGTTGTACATACATTTGTAAGACGGAGACTACACATACGGGTGTGACGTCCTCTTAACTATTTTAGTATTTTTATTGTTGAACGATGATAATTAGTAGCTAACTGCATGCTTATATTGTTTAATAAGCAATTATATTTAGTATGTGCCTATTACGTATTAACTAATAATTCTGGTTTTGAATAGTTTGGAACAAAATAATAATATCTTATGTCAATCGATTGTACAAATCGAAACAGTAACTTAAGTCAATGACAGTTATTTTACGTGATTTGTTATTAAAATCCTTTTTTTTTTGTATTTTTATACCTAAGTTTATACTTTTTGATAAGGTATCTGTGGCAATAAATCTAATCACTAATTAATGTTGCTATTCTCTAGTGCTCAGGGTGATTTCTACTTGGAGACCAACCGATCGAGTCCTTTTGGTATTTATTAAGCTTATATATTACTACCTATGTAATATATTACAATCAATATGCACTATATATAATATGGATAGTGGATACGTTCAAACTTCAAAACATGTCATATTATAATAATCACTTGCAAGAGGTACATGCGATAAATACAATTTTTTGTTGTTGTTGCTTGTACGTATTTATACACTAATAAACAAACAAACAATATTTATTCATATAATATTAATATGTATTGGTTATTTAAATTCTTCATCCCAAGACAATTAATTAACGAAGTTTTAGCCCTTAGGTATTATAATATATGCTACTGCAGCCAAGCATGCTCCACTTGGTCAATAATTATTGTCAAGGAATGAATAGGACCTCATCGTTGATCTACATTTATTATTCGAATATTTTTATTGTCCCTTGCTATTACCTACAAGAGTCATATTATATTGTACAACGAATTCGTATTTAAAAATAAATGAATACACGACTTTAGAACATTTTTTGCTACGATACTCGAGTGACACCAAAACGCTATAGCCATTTTTAAAAGGTAATTTTATCATAGTTACTATGAATTACATTACGTGATATACTGTAATACCTATACCTATTAGACATTAATCCTTCTATAATGTATACTTATGAAGTTAGGTTACATTGCAGAAATGTACGAGATTAATTCGTATTTAAAGATTTTAAAACGGCGTATCTGAATTCTGAGACATTATTCATTTATAAGAGTGGACGAAATTAACTGATTATTTTTATGAGGCTCTTATAATTTTTATTCAGAAGTGATTTTATTCCTAACTCTCTGAAACAATTTATTTCGATTTTTATGATCCTTCCTAATTGCTATCTAAATAGTCCTGAATATTAAAGTGTTAAAATATATGTTTTATTTGTTGGTTATACATTACTCAACATTAGGTACCATTTGATGATATAGGTACAATTAGTAATACGTACCTATACGAAGTTTAAATAGGTAATATCATTTTTACTACCCTATAAAACTTTCAAATTTAGACAGTTGAATAATTTTAGATTTTGAGCCGAGCGAAAGAATGTATTGGGTTTACAACGATGTGTTTTTTATTATTTTTTTTCTGTCTGTCAGCAACATTTTGGATAGTAAGCATGCTTCGATTTTTGAGATCAGCATCTTTTCTAATAGAAAAGTGAACCAAGTTGGTACTTTTGGGAGGTTAAAATTGAAAAGTCCAAGTAGTTTTAGAAAGCGTTGAGAAAACTACCGACAAATTACGAAAAACCTCTATTAATTTGATTTTAATTTCTAACGCTTTGTGTATCACCATAGCAACGAATAAAAAATATTAAATAATAATATTGTAACTTATAAAGACTACGCTAACCGCTCTGAATCGTTTTTCTTATACAATAATGGCTTATCATTGTATTCAAATATAACACATCCATTACAACTACTGTAAAGCAGAGCGGTACCCACTTGTCCACCTTTTTAAAATAATATTTATTAAACTCTTCTACTAAAAATGTATTATAATTAAAAAAAAAAAAACATTAATAAATAACATTTGTAGGTAGCAAATACTTAAGACTACTGCCGTGCACGCTAGGGAAACAACACAGGTAATTCATGCAAAATAAAACATGTTTATCAATTTAAAATAGTTTTCATTGGAAAACTGTTATGGGTGATGTTACTTTGATAGCCAATAACAAGTTTCAACAGTTAGGAGGTACCTATTAAGAGTCTAAAGTGACCATACGTCACTCTTTAAGCGGGATAGTCCTGTTTTCGGGACGATAAAATGTCCTGTCTTCGAAAAGTAGACTAAAAATAACAAAAAAATGTTTGTTGATGAATAATTTTTACCATCTACTGATCTACCTATATTATAAATATTATTCTACGGAGTGAAAAACTTTTTTCTCCGATTTTTACACTTATGGTGAACCGGGAAAAACGCAACCAGGTAATAATAAAATAAAAACATTAATACAGCTAAAAATATCTATAGATATAGAAATTTACAAACAGTCTCTGATTCGAATCGTTTTTCATCGTTTACAATGATTTATCGTTGAACTAAAATTGAACAAAATATCTTTTATACAGTGATCGTGACCTACTCGTAATGATAACGAGTTACATACTCAACGCCTATACTGTACAGCAGAGCGACTTCCTTGAATTTTTTTAAATTTTAATGTGAATAAATTATTATTATTTATACTACCTAGTGCAATGGTAGGCAAATAAACGAATAATGATTTACTTTTATTTATATGAATAGACGTATTATAATTTATGTCTGGTTGTACTAAAAAAAATTGATTATGATCCATTAAATTTTAATAGATTAATCGAATGATTGTGCACGTATTACCTTCTTACTAATCATTCTTAGTAATAATAGAATGTCTTATTCAATTTATTAATAGTATTAAATGTTTAGTGAACGTTCGTGTGCTTCTCGGTATTATTGCAGATTGCAGACAAATAGTAATGGCTACAGTTTGTCATCATTAAATAACAATAACTTAATTGAAATGGAATAATATGATTAGTTCTACCTATTTAGTACACCCATATACTACAAAATAATTATCTTATGATTTCTGACAAAAATAAATCGAAATATTACATTTTTTTTTCCGGATTAACGTAGTAAATAGTAACCGAATAACAAAACGGTAATTGGTTGGTTATCTAAATGGTTGTACCGAACTTGACCCTGCCAGAACTATGACTGTACATCGTAGACTACCTTATATCTACTAAACCTAAACAATTAAAACACAATGTTTAATATAATTATTAATATTTCGTTGATTTCAACTATTAAACCATACCTACTAATTTTATTTTTCAGACTTTCAGGTATAAGTACTTAGTGGTATATTAATGTAATGTGTTAGAAGACAGAAGTTAAAAGAAATAGCAAGATAGTGATTGAAATACTTTTAAAATACCATAAGTAGTTTTGAAATACCTAGGTAAATAGAAAAACCAAATTCGAGCTTAGAGAGAAAAAAAATTTTGGTGTATAAATTTTAAACTCCCGGCCTGGATTTGGTTCCCACTCCGCCCCTGGACATAACTAACTTTCTATTTCATAAATTAGCCCCAAGTAAACTCCAAAACATCAGAAATATTGCGTAGAACTTGTTTTTGTAAAAATCATCAAAATCGTACTTTTAGAAATTAAGTTATAAATGAAAAAGTGAGAATTTTTTAATGGAAATTTATGTTAAATTCAGAAACATGGTAGCCGCCGTCGTCGTCGTCGCATCAGCCTTTGCCATTGTGGCATTGTTACCAACAATATTACCGTTCTTATAGATTATTGTGTAAATATTAAATACTCAATATTTAATAACGATAAAAATTAGTGATATCACAACAAAAAATCTTCGTAAACTACCTGTGAAAATGGCTAAGTAAAAAAAATATAAGGTTTTTAAGCACTATAAAGATGTGATATCATGATTATATACTAAGTATATTGAATTTAATTAAACTTATTTTCTTTCAATAATTGATTTACTTGGCGAGGAATTATTTAGAATAGTATATAAATATTAATAATATAGTTTACACGTTTTTATTTTTTTCTATAAAATATAACATAATATTCAAGTTTTTAGAATTGTATATTTAACCAAAAGTTATTTTAAAATTCAAGGACGTGTTATCAATATTGATATGAGCAATAACTAATATTGATTTATATTCTATATTCGGATCTAACTTTAAAATATATATTTGCTACCTATGTAGTATGTATAATGATGTACCTATTTCAGTGCAAAATCTAATGTGTGGTCATACCTATAGTTAATATATTATTATTGTACAACAACTGTCAAAACTTACATACCTTGAAAAAGTGATTTCCTATACTAGGTACCTACAAAAGATAGGTATCAGGTTTTGTTCGGATTAGGATATTACGACTCAAGTCAATAATTATGTAGAAAATATGGTATCGGTACATGCACGTATACACGGAGGTTTAATGGTTCAAACCAGCTAAACCGAAATGTTTTCAAACAATATTATTTTTGGACATGCAGTATTATATTATTATTTTACCAATGTAAAATACAATTTTGATTTTTTTTAAATATTATTTTGTATCAACTATTTGAGTCAATTTGACTATATTAAGCGTTCTACACAATACACATTATTATTGTTTACAATTCTTGTATGGTTTATATAACCGTCCATATCGTATCCGCCGGTGTAATGCGTTATTTTATGATTTATTCCGCAGTCATTCGTCGCCTTTAGTGCTTGATGGCTTGAATTTTTCTTGGAAAATACTCTTGGATACTACTTTTGGATTATACTCTGTATAATCGACCAATGAGGTTTTTTATTTAAAATATATATTTTAACGATTTTTAGTCGTTAAATCTGTAAAAGTTGATTATACACTCAACACAACGAAAAAAAGAAACAATATTTTCTTGTGTTCACAAAATATTTTATTATAGTAGAAAAGGCCGCAAATTAGAAAAAAAAACCGAAATTTAAATGTGTGAACAACAATTTAACAATTTAGAATTTTGAAAGCACTTAAGTTTAAAGAAAAAAAAAATACTACGACGGACAGGATAGACACAATAAACAAGGGGGGGAGGATGCGAGATGGCGATTGGTGCAGAAATGCAGTGTTGCTGGCCACTGGTCACCTCTGCACGTTCTCAGACCTGTCCCCGCGGGTTGACGAGTGTCCCTGGCGCGTTTGCTCGGACGCTTGACGACCTTGCCCAGCCGGCGAGGCCAGACCGAGACGGCCACGGGAGCGACCACGGTTGAAGGCGACGGACGGCGGCTAGTGCGCGATGTCTTGCGCGTACCGACGGTCGACGGTCGTCGACTCGGGCCGACGGACGGCGAAGACCGAGACGCGGAGCGAGCGAAGTGAGATTCTGTGTTGCGGAACCGGTGGGGACGACCGAAGCGGCCGACTTGGGATTACCGCGGGGCGAAAAGGCGAGAGCCAGCGGACCACAGCGTGATCCTCGACTCTCGGTAATTTTCGCCCTGGCGTCGTCCCTTCGGCCGCCGCGCGCCGCCAGACCCTGAAACGGTTGAGTTTCTGCGAGTCCGGCGCCGCTGACGTCCCCGTGTTCCTAGCACGTGAATCTCCGCACCACTCACCCCGTGCCCAGGTCTCCGCCGCTGCCGTCGTACCGAGTCGCCATCGCCGTCGCACCGAGTCGGTGTACCGTCGGGGCGGAATCGTTGCCCGGTACCTCTATACTAGCCGCCGTGCCGTCGCCGTCCACCGTCGCCGTCGCTCCGCGTGACCGTGACTGCGGTCGGGCGCTCGCCGAGCCGCCAGAGGGTCTCGCGCGTCATCGACGACCGAGCTCGCCACGCCAGCTAACCCGTCGCGCCGCGGGTGCAGGTCGGAGAACGTGCGCGGGCGACTTACCGCCGCGCACCGTCCGTGCTCTTTCCCGCATCCTCCCCTCCATTCCGTCGCCGTCTTCCTGTCCGCCGTCTTCGCCCAGCTTCGGACGTCTCCTTATCGGCGGCAGAAGCAGCAAAGGCCGCGGAAGAAGCGCCTCAGGCTCTTCCACCTCTTTGGAGGCGCCTTGCCGTCTTCGCGTACAGTCGTGTCTTGGTCGCCGCTCGGCATTCCTCCACCGTGCGAGGTGACGGTCATCTCGACGCCTTCAGCTGCCCACGCCTCTCCTGCTGCACCTCCGAGAGTCGAGTCTCCCGACTCCGACTCCAGGGTCTGCACGTCACCAACGGTGGTGACCATGTCAATGGCAGCCAGGATGGGCGCGACCAGACGAACGAGATATTCTTCCGTCTTATCGGCGAGTGCTCCTTCTGTTTTGTCCGTAATAATGTCCTCCAACATTTCCATTAACAACACGTTTACCGCGGCGCGGTCGATGTTAGTTGCCATACTTTGTAAGTTTTGAATATCGAAAATAATTTTTGCGTGTCCTTTAGAATCGATCGAGAATTGGTAATGAGCTAAATAAGAATATTTCAACACATAGACCGATCTCCGAGAAAATCTCCCAGACGACGGTGTGTGTTACTAGCCAGCTAGTATGTTTATCGTTCTGGTCGGCCCGCAGCATTAGAATTTCGAGCGCGTTAACAATAGTAATATAATAACAATTTTATTTTATTTGCAAACAATTCCCAACACATTTTCAATTATATAAATACAGTTGTAAGTTTGCTGACCTCCTATAAGCAAAAGCTTGGTTGAAGGTGAGAGGTTCTCAAATTAGACATCAAATTTAAATTCAAATAATAACAGTAAAGTACAATATAAGATTTACTTAATACAAAATAGAGCGTTCATTTTTCCAAAGACCACTATTATTATTGATAAATATGGCCGTGTGTCATTAATCAAAAACAAAAATTAAACTTGTCTTTGTGAATATTGTAATACGTTTATATACGTAATGTACCTAATCAATATATTTCGTCGAAACTCCATAATTTAATTTGTTAAATTACAGTACCTATACCTACTGGCTACTTGAATACAATATTTTCGTACTACAGACTACAGTCTACTACAGTTTAGGTAATTTATAACGTAGGTATAATCAGTGATCTATATTTGAGTTAATCATTTTCGATTTTGATAAAACATGTATAGGTAAGTATATTGATATTACCTATGTAATAAACTAATAACACATAATATCCATATTAATATTATTATCAAATACAGATCCAACTATCCAAAAAAGGTCAAGTGTTGATATTTGACATGTTAGATGTATCTATTAACAACTATCCATGCGGGTATTATAATCAGTGGCGTATTTACGGGGGGGGGGTCCATGGGGTCCGGACCCCTCACATTGACTCGTGTCTCGTACATGTTAAATGTTGTGCAGTTTTTACATGATTAAAAAACAAATTTTATCATACGATTTTACGGATTGTATAAAAAATTTTCGAAGCTATAGTTATATCAACATTTTCAATAAATATCGTGATTATTTTTATCAGTTGGTTATCGGAAATGGTTGAAAAATACCAAATTCATTCTTTAATTCAAATATTTTGTAGTTTTGTACATTGCCAGTATCTACAACCACTCCAGAGAGATCTTTTTCAAACTTTTTAAGGTTGAAAAGTTATCTAAGATCAACTATGAATGAAGTAGGTACCTAATGTAATTAAGGAAATATTTGTATAAAAGTTATAACATATAACTATATATTCGATTCTGAGGGATCTATTGATTCTACAATGGTGTTTATTTTTTTTTCCTGTATACAAAATTTCTTCCAGAAGGAGTGCTTCGATTTCAACATGTATAGACATATAGTAACTTATCTTTTAGAAAATTGGATCAAGATTACTATCTTAGAGAGGTCATTTTTTGATTTTCTCAATAGTTATTTAATGCCACTGTAAAAACCATCAAAAAATTACGAAAAACCTCTAAAAATGGGATTTTAATTTCTAACACTTTGTCTATCACCATAGAAAAAATAAAAAATAAAAGTATTTCATTATTAATTCAACTAACAGGCTATAATCAATAATAACAATATAAAATATCCAGACTGACAAACCGTCTTCGCTCAGAATCGTTTTTCTTATACAATGATATTATATTATATCATTGAGTTCAAGTTTAATACAATCCATTATACATTGACCCACTTGTAACCTACTGTACAGCAGCAGAGTGACATCCACTCACCCGCTTTTTTTTAAATTTGTTTTGTACATATTATTATTTAATAATTAAAAACTCGACAATTTTATATCGTCTTATAAATATGGTATATTTTATTTAATAAAGAGTAAATGGGTGGTGTGGGGGGCTTTGTCCCCCGTGGCTTTGTGTTCTGGAGTTCTGGACCCTCCCCATGACAAATTCCTAAATACGCCACTGATCGTAGTATTCAAATTTCAAATAGTGTAATTATTAAAAAACTGATTTTTGGAATTTTTAGATGTTCGTACTACTTATTGAGTGTCCTATGGAGATAAAAATTTCTGTTTTTCAAATAAAAACCCCCGGCCTTTTTGTACAATCAGTTATTTAGCGGATATCTTTTCTGAAAATGTTGACGTAGATATCAAAATCAAAATTGGGACGAGTAGTTTTTTAGTTTCTTAACCACAGAATAAGGCTTGAGATTCCTTTCTGTTTATTATGTGACTTAACTTTCTATTCTGAAGATGATAATGGATGTGGAAGTTATAGAGGTGGTGGGGGCTGTGGTAATATACCCATGTTATATTATCCTATCAATATTTATAATCCTTAAAAATCTATAAAAGTGGCCCAGGAATAATAAATACTAGGTAGATCCAGTATTACTTATATTTCATTTAATATTGAAAAACCATTTTTAAGGACTGCTATCCTTAATTTAAACATTTTAATGACTAAAAAACTACTAGTACGAATTTTGAATTACGTACATAATATTAACATTTTGAAAAAAACTATGCATTAATTTACAGTAAAAATTGGATGCTCATTTTAAAAACAAGAGTTTGTATCACAGCCGGACAATCCTAAAGTATGGGAGAAAAAATCTCAACAATTTGAATACCTATCTATATTCAAATTTCCAAACTCGTATAAATTCATTATTAAATGAAACAACGGGGATGTGAGCATGCTCGGTGAATCACCTGATAGACAAAACGCGTCTTTCAAAAATAATATGATAATCGCAGTGTCGCACCATCAATTAAAAATAATTACTGCAACGCGTAATGTATGTCGACTGTACGAACATTTATTATAATGGACACATAGCCGAAACGATTTAGATAATTAATGAACGACCGTTTCAGCAGTAACTGCTATCTCAGACCATAGAATTTTTAATAATTATTTATATAATATTATTCTAATTTTCTGTCGATAAACTGAGATAATAATATAATTTTCTAAACAGTCGGCGAAACCGTCGCGGTCGTGTCGATAAGCTGTCGGGCGTTTCTCGTTTTCGCAGTGCGTTACGATATTGTATCAACACCTACCTAAACTTACGGTTAGCCGGTCGAGTGTAGTATAATATTATTATTATTATTATTAACGCCATCGATTACCATAATAGTAATAATAATTATTATTACGATAAAGAAAATCAGCCGAATATAATATTTCGTGCCGCCCCCCGAACTGCATGCCACAAGTCGGGCGATGTTCCATTATAATATGTTATAATATCAAATCGAGTTCAGCAAACGCTATGATATAATAATTACCGTTGTAATAATAATAATAATTGTCGTGTTATTATCAATCGTTCTGCGCATTGTGATAATGTGTGAAATATTATATTATTATGCTTCGTACTTTACACCGTACACGTCGCGCAAATGTGTCGTACCGCGTAAAATCCGACCGAGCAGTGCATACTATCCACACCGATCCCGCCCAAAATAATGTGACTGAACAGTAAAAATAATTATAATAATAATGGAATAATAATAATGGTATATCGTTCGAACGTGTTTTCACCCATTGTATCGCGTTCCGTCGGGTTTTAAGTGACGAATGGTACTGCTGCAGCACTACAATAATAATATACAGACCGCCGAACCGTTTACAATATAGGCTCTATAATAATATTATATAGGTAATTGTTGCCGTCGAACTACGCCGACGGGTGGCGCCGTGAGCAAAACGATTGTTATTAAAATAATAATAATTTTTTTTTCGAAAAACAATAATAACTACGTCATGTTCGAAACTACAACGACGAAACCGATCACCCACAGCAGTCCGGGCTAGAGCCGTCGCTTTTCGCGAGCGCAGACACACACATTCTATAGATGGTGTATTAGCGGATCCGATTTTCGAACACACTTGTTGCTATCGCCTCGTCAAATGCGCCGAACGATGCTGCTCATCATCCCCACGACGATCCTCGCGCTCGTGGTCCAACAAAACAATGGTAAATCTGTGTAAAACTACGACGGGTCGAAGATTATAATAATAATAATAATATTATATTCGTGTCATAATAGAGTGGACGATGATGATGGTCTGGTAAATTCGGGGCCGTACTAGGTATAGGGTCCAGCCCATTATCCCAGATATCGGCCCCATCCTGACCCTGATAGGCGTAATTAGTTGGGAGCTAGATGGGGGGCTTAGTTGCCAAAATATTTTTTTGCCCCCGAATAGTATACTTGGTAAATTACATTAAGAGAGTCACTTATGATTTATTCGTTATAGAAACTGGAACCATTTAACTTTTAAAGTTTTATGACATGTCCTCTGTATCATATAAATACAGTAGAACCTCAATAATCCGGATTGATTGGGGCTCCAGGTTGTCCGAATTAATGAAAATCCTGATTAAACAAAATAGTCAAAATACGTGTATCAATGTATGATAGAATTAAGAACATGAATTATGTAATTGACAATTGGATGATGCGATTGACAAATTATTTTTGGTATTTTGAAGAAATAATCGTGATCACATTCATATAGGTATTTGGAAATTTCGTTGAATTTCGTCTGCGTCTCAAACTACGCGTTTACGTGTTATTTAACGACTGTCCGGATTAAGCGAAATCCGGACTATTGGGGTCCAGATTAATGAGGTTTTACTGTATATAATCCTATTGTGTTTAAGTCTCATTATCTAATATACGTTTATGTTCCGATGGACCACTTACAAGGCACACTCAACCAAGGACAGCAGCCCACTCAGTGAAGTATATACAAATTATTTTCACTGTGGGCCATTTATCACTAGTCAGCATAGCGCGACTAATATAGCCATAATTATAAATCTTTTGGGGAGCTGGGTGGTTTTGTAAATACAAATAAAATTGCGCAATTTAATTTTATAATTATTATCATGTAAAATTAAATTTTTTAATTCTTTTTAAAAAATATTGACAATTTCATAGGTACATATACATTTTAATATTGTCTTACTGTGAATTGAGCACATCAAAGTCATCAAAGCAAGTCCTGACAATCTAACCTTGTTGATCCCTCAAAACTATTTTAATCAACCAGCTAAATTAATCATGGTGAAAAACTGTAAACAGTGTACATATACATCATACATGAAATGGTTTAATCGAACCTACAATTTAATTATGGGCTTTGGCCACTGGGCCAGTCCTCCCCTGCTCGTAATAATCGTACAGAAACGTCTTAATCACTATGCATTGTCGTCTTATCAATTTTAGCTTTGACCGCTTGGTTTCGAAGCGGTATACCGGTATAGGTAGGTAACATAGGTAACAACAAGCGATGAATATATTTCAGTTTTTGATAGGAGGGGGGCAAAAGTTTTGACCAGCTCTCATAACCTAACAGAAAAACCGGTAGCCAGCCAATTTCCACTCACATTTTATAAGCTACAATACAATATTTCCGTCTCACAAAAAATGTTTATACGTGTCGCGGTCGTAGGCAAAAATAGCATAATCTTATAGCAAAAAATACATTGGGGGCTGTAATAGTAATATTGGGTTTGGGTACCTACTTCAGTGGCGTCATCTTAGAGTTGTCTAGATTTATCAAACTAATTAAATTTCAATAGTTACTAAACACACAACTGCTAAAACTTACCCCAAAAATATTAAATAATCATACAGATTGTAACAAAAAGACCGGAAAAACAAAAATAAAAAATTGGTACTATTATAGCTGAACGTATAACAGTAAGACACTTGTTAGCCTTTCGAATATTTGAATTTAAATACTTTTTCATTATATTTTATTTATTTCTGAATCTTTTTACCATCGTATTTCAACAAATATGTTTTTTGTTTCACATATTACAGTTTTAAATATTGATGTTAAAATAATATTTTATAATTCTTCGAAAATTTTTTAAGATTTAATTAAATACACATATGAATCAATACCTAATAATTAAATCTACATAGCTGAAGTTTAACTTTACATTATAATAGCTGGTATGTGACATCTGAAATCCTTGAACCAATAATTAATGAATGTATTTATTAATTATTTAATTTAAATATTTATAATAATTATCTATTTATAGTTAGATGCATACCATACTCCCGTTCTCCACATTCTAAAAGTAAAAACTCACACGATTAATCAAATGACTGGCGTCAAAGCAAACGTTTCAATTTAATTTAGTTTTAACTTTAGACGACCACTGAAAACTAAATACTTTTCCAATATCATACCAATCGTATCTATAACTCATGCTTTTTATTAGACTCAAAAACATAAATTTCACATTCCCGCACTCATTCGAGTAGGTAATAGGTAATAATAATAATAATATATGATTTAATTAGTACCTATCGGATCGTACAATTTTAAATAATCATAAATAGGTACATCTTTTTTATGTTTGTTGCTGAATTGCCTGCACGACCCGAATCATCTTGAATCAATGATACTTTTTTTTCGTTTCTATATGAAAGTTGTTATTTTGACTTGTTCTCGTTCATATTATATACATTATTAATAATTATAGCATTAAAAGTGACATTAAAAAATCTTAAGGGCTGGCCCTCTACCGCGACGCAATTGAATATTTAACGGATTTATATACTTTACCTAATATTTGTCATGACATTTTTTAAGCAATCAATATGTGTGTTTGTCCACTCTAGCATGTTTCGTGAAGAGTGCTTTGCGTTTTGTCCAAAAAGCAATCGTCAGATGGGATGGGTTTGATTCAAAATACTTACAAACGTTGTCCGTCAACGATAAAAACGTGGACATCCAATACTGGAATTCGTATGTAACACCACAACGTAATAATAATAATAATAATAATAATAATAATGATATAGTATTAGTAATATAGTATATAAGCCAGTGGTTTTTAAACTTTTAAAGTACCCCACGGACCCTCGATATAAAACTTTTTCAAACCATGAAACCCCTTCCTAATAAATCTTTTTTTCTATACAATTTTGTACACAACACCAATTGTCCATGGTCGGAACCACTGATAGGGCCGCGGACTTATGGCATGAGCGTCATGGACCCCCCGGGATAAGCGGATTGCTGCTCACAGCTTAAGAACCACTGACATTAATCAATGGCTCCGAACACTATATTCATTATCGAACGGGAAAAATTCAAGGGTGAGCAGATATATAGGTATAAAATTTAGGAATAAGCAACTTGATTATTGATGCTTATTATTATATTATTATGTGCCAATTATGCGCTATTAAGTCCGGGACATTCTTTTTAAGAGTACCTAAAATTGTGTAAGGTAAAACATACTTCGGTACCACTGAACGTCACTTTTAAGCATATTATTATTTTGTCGTTGTTAAGTTCTCGTTAAAACGATTTTTTTATGATCGGTTATGGTAAAGATAACGTAAACAATATTTCCATATTATGTCGACAACGTCAAAATAAAAACAGTGACGCTGAATCAAAAGAGCAATCGCATCCCGGGCGGGTGTGTGAAACTGCACAAGTTATTTTGAGCGAAGATCACTCAGACAAACTCGATTCATGATTTATATTCTGTAGTTGGATTATTTATTTTAATATAATCAACCAACTTCGGCGACATTGAGATTAAAAAACAATGATTTCGTTATCAATTTCGTTGACGACCAGTGTCAAATCAATTATTGTATTATTGGTTATTCTTTTGATTGTAGTAAAATGCAATTATTGATTCACGTTCGAACATGGGGACAAAGAGACATACAATTTTGATTAATTTATTGAATAGGTTAGGTACCTACTGAATAATTAGTACTTCTAAGCTATTACTATATCAAAAAGTGCGTTGGTGCAATTCCAGTAATCACTATTGATCAATATTTAAGTATAGTAACGCGAATTGGATATTCAAATCTCCAGATAGATAGTAGGTTTTCTCGACTCATCATTCCAGACGAATAAAATTTGAAAAATGCATATAAGTCGCATAATATTAAAATGCATAGGTATAGGTAGGTATAGTATAGGCATTAGGTAATATTATCATAATATTAAATCGAAGCTGCAAATAATTATTATAGATACTTTCTAAAATTGGTATTTTTAATACAATATAGATATGAAAAAAGTGTTTGTATCGTTATCAGTGGCGGATCCAGGGGGAGGGAATAGGGGGCATTCCCCCTCTACAATCACCGTAGTTTTCCTTTGTTTAGCTAATTTTGAAGGCAATTTTGGAACTTTTTGTACTTTTGCCACCCCCCCCCCCCATGCCAGTCCCAAAATTAAGCCCTGGATCCGCCACTCGATTCAGTATAGAAGTTAAGATTAATCGCAACTTTCGGTTTTAGGAAACTCGGCAACCATAAATCTATAAAAATAAGGTTCAATCACGAGTACGAATTGTCAGAACATTGGATTCCGGATAAGCCTTTAAAAGTGATCTTACACGGATGGCTCGACTCCATCATACACGAGGATGGCGTGTCTTGTATAAAAACAGGTGAAATTTATTATTTTGAAAAAAAAAAACAAAATGTTTATACCAATCGATTTGTCGTGGACACACAACACGCGTCGTAATAAATTTATTTAAATATTTCTTGTGCGGTGCCGTATCTATAACACTAATATTAAGCGTATAAATACAGCTGGCCCGGAGGTGGTGCGAATATAATATTAAATTATGTGTCTATATTTCAATATTTGATGTTTGTCAAACAGCTTACGTATACGTGGGCGGATATAACGTGATAACCGTGGACTGGGGCGGCATAGCGGGATTCCGGAATTACATGTTGCCGATGTTGATGACGTCAAAAATAGGCGCCAGACTGGCCAAGGTGTTGGACAATATCGTGCACCTCGGACTCGTCCAATCTGAGGACATACACCTGATCGGGCACAGTCTCGGGGCGCACATCGCCGGCGTGTGCGGGTCTCTGACGAAGTCGGGCAAGATCGGCCGGATAACGGGTGAGCGATGAGCAGCGATCGACGTTATATAATATTATTATTATTATGACTGCAGTGCAGTGCAGTGGTCGGTCTTCGGACGAGGATTTAGAAAATCACGTCTCGTCTTAGGTCTCGATCCGGCAGGACCGGGCTTTGAGTTTGCAAAGCTGCAGAAAAAAGGGCTGAAGAAATCGGACGCTCAGTTCGTGGACGTTATCCACACATCCGGTGGATCCACGGGCATTTATCACTCGGCTGGTCACGCGGACTTTTTCCCGAACGGCGGCAGCGTGCCTCAACCGGGCTGCTACGACGGTATAAAGCTCGAAAGGATAATCGGGCTCGGTGAGTATACCTATATTGTAATATGTAGGTAATATTATGTATAAGAGGACGGTAAGGTAACAACGTGCTTGGGAAAGCTAACAGCTGTAATTACCGTAAGACGGTCTAAGATCGTATTAGATTGTGTATGGGCTAATCCAAATAGTCAGTTTCATTCGGTTATTAGTTACCGCTTTAGAAAATAAAGCGGGACTTTAGGAACTTAAAATTCGTGACGTGTACCATGCGCATAACGGAATGAAATCAGGGCTTAGCACCAGGGTGTTCAGTAGTCTAGAAAAAAAACAACTTCTAAAGACTGAGCAAACAACAACAATTGCCAAAATTGTAAAAATTAAAAAAAAAAAGATTTATGTTATTTATGATAAAATATAAATTCCTAACACGCGTTAGACCAATAGCCGAGGATACCTTTCAATAGCCGACTTTTCTGACCAACTACTTACAAACTTTCTACAATCTCAACTCCCTGAATAGCGGACACATCCGAATAACGGACAACATTTCGGCGACCGAGACTCGAGAGTGTCCGGTATTTAGAGGTTTCACTGTAATACCAAATGATTGTGCACCGCGTTCCGTCTCTACACGTGGACAATTATCTCTTTTTTTTTTTATCGCAGTTGGCTGTAGCCACTCTAGGGCGTACATGCTGTACGCCGACTCGGTGTACTACCCTGGTACGTTGATGGCGTACAAGTGCCTGTCATGGAATGATTACGTGAACGACGACTGCGACAGTGACGAAAAAACGCCGATGGGACACGGCGCTTCGCCCACGTAAGTGGAAACCACAAGATGTTTAATAAAATATCTATTCCTTAGATAACTTATAATCTATATATTCTATATAATGTATAAATGAACGTTGGTATATCTGCAGAGATCAACAGACTCAAAACCGACGGGACCGTCGGGACCGTTTTCAATAAAAGTGATATTAATAGATTCCTGAGCCTGTATAGTGTGGGGTTATAATATAGCTTATTGACATGTCCTATGGCTGGGGGGTAGTTCTATAATGTTGGAGAGCGTTACAGTCATCGTGTCGAGGCTGGGAGCCAAAAATATTATTCTATTATTTTGACCGATTACGCGTTACGATTGCCACGACAACCAAACTTAGCAAATATGAAGTTCCTACTTTTCCCATAGAAACCGATAATTAAGTCACCACTGCAACTTCCTTATTCTTTTTTAGATTCATCGCTACGATGAATGTATTAAATTTACAAGACATATATAATAGGTACATGTACCGATGTATCTACATACGGTGTGGATACTTCTTGATTTTTTTTCAACCCCTATAGGTTGCTATACACACAGATGCATTTAGTTTTTGCTAAAACCAATACATTCTACACTCCACTCAGAATCCTGTTAAGTTTTATACATTTGCTATATATATGTATAGTCATATAACAAAAAGAGCACGAGTGAAATATCTATTGTTTTCAGGGTGAGAGGTGATTTCTATTTCAGAACCACAAGCAGTCCTCCTTACGATGATCCGGATGCACCGAAGCAAGACCTCTGAAGTTATATCTTCTTTATATTTCTAACTAGACGAAGTCTTCACCGTATACAGGACATGAAGACATTCCATTTGTTGACATTTTAAGATAAGATTAACAACAATCGCAGCAATATTAGTTTGTAATTAACACCAAGAATAAACTATTAATATTTTTATGTTGAATTTCAACGGACCTAATATTTTAGTCTTGTGATAAATCGATTTGAATTATTCTTAATATTGTGTTATTATTATTCATTATTTTTAATGTAATTTATTATGTTTATTGTTTAAATTAAATTATTTAAATTTCTGTTACTTTTGTTAAAAATATTTTTTGAATTTACACAAGTTGTTAATAAATGCGTGTATAACGAAACTTCGTTAGGATTTTAATACATTCAGGAGATATAGCACATTCTCATTTTAAGTTCTAGTGGAGTACGTGACCAGAAAACTTGGGGCACTACGCATTATAAAATAAATGGTCGCACGAATAATACATTTATGTATGGATTATTTTCTTTTACATACATTATACTATTTTCTGTTGTCCTTTCGTCCTTTGAGGAGAGTAATGGCGACTATATAACCCCTTGACTATATTATAGTACTTAAATAGTGTTGTAAATGTTACGATTATGAAATAATTGTACAACCAAACCCGTTTTTCATTGATATACCTATGCTCTTGAAATATTTCAAACGATTTGTTATAATCTATTACTACAGAATAATAATATAGGTAATATATAAATATATTATGTTTACAGAAAAAAAATGTGGCGTGCAAAAAACTTAACAACAACACGCCATAACAAATCATAAATTTTATATTGTAAAATATAACATATAGTTTGGCGAGGCAAAAAAAGTGCTCAATGCATATTATAGGTACTCGCTCTGAACACTTTAAACAATAATATTAAAACAATTTAAAACACAGGTTTTTAGGAACACGATTACAATATTACGAATGTTAATCTACAGTGGAGCAGCAGCGGTTTGCGAATATCACAAGGGCAAAACAATTAGCTTATTTTATTTTTCATTTTTTACTTATTTATGGTAGGTATTTACAATTTATTCTGTAGAAAACAATGAGTGACAAGTGTAAAAAAATTAGTTTCATAGCCATAAATAACCCATTTTTTTGAGAGATAACAATGACTAAATAATAAATATTATATAATATGTAGAAGGATACCTAAATATATTACCAATAGCTACTATATGAAGGCCCAAAACTAGCCCATACCCAGCCTGACAGCGGCTCGCTAATGACAAGGGGGCAAATGTATACCCTGCCACCACCCCTCCTCCACGGATTGAGAAGAAGATCGCTACGCTTTAATAGGACGTCGCACCAGCATGTGTTGTCTCCGCCTTACAAACGTACGACGTAGTAAATTTTGTCCCCTAGCTTCAATAGGGTGCTGTCAGTTTTGATATTAGAGTGAATTGACCTATTCTCAAACTTTTAAGTAACAACATTTTCTGTGTCATTAGTTAATTTTCTGTGTTTAAGAACTTTAAAGTTTTGAATTTTATCAACAATGGATTTTTAACCCAAATGGGTTTTAAGAGGACGCTGCCTACATGCATTTGTTGATTCCTTCTTACACACATACTATATGGCAAATTGTCATTCAATAGTTCTAATCGAAAATGAAGACATCGAATAAAAGCACAGATAATACCCTTACCTAAAAGTTTGATAATATTTCAATTCAATCTAATATCAAAACTAACAGCACACTATTGAAACTGTTGGACAAAAATTTGATGCGTGTGCCTTACGTTTATATGATGGAGACAAAAAATGAATGGTTAGCGTCCTCTTAAGAGGGTTTTGTAAATTAATAATTTGATCTTCATATGCATACCTATATAATAATATGTGATCAAATAATTTATATTTTTGTGACATAATAAAATAATTTAATTAAAAAGTGACTTCACACATAAATAACTATCACATATTATAATACATAATATATATGATACATATCAGAAAAAAAACCACATTTGTGACAGATAAAAGACCTCGGCGATCCTACCGCGGGTTTGGTCGTTTTGAGTGAGATCTAGCGTTTGTTCAGCCTGTACCATAAGACGGTTGTTGTCAGCACGTAAGTGCACACCAAAAAGGAGCAAATGTAGAAAAATTCGGAACAAATGTTCACTCGGGCGAAATCCATTTCGGTGAGAAACTTCACTGGATTTTTGTAGTGGCAGTACATCTCATCGGAGCACGGTAAAACGCCCCTGTCGAGGCCGTACAGCGAATACAAGATACTCTGGAACGACGCCCTGATGAAGCTGAAATGGTGGAGCCACACATACATGGAGGGTATGTCCGGAAACCTTATCGCGAACCCGAACACGGATAGTAGCACCACAAATACTGGTCCAACGAACACAGACAACTGAAACAGAATTTTCACTATAAATATAGATAACCACATAAGACTATTTTTATTCCGATGTATTTATTGGCATCGCTTCATGTTTGATTTTTAATACGCAGTGTTATCAACCTCGAATGTACCGAATGTAATATTATTATATAGTTTTTATTCAAGAACAATGTACCTAAATACAGGGTTAATTTATTCATTTATTCAAATTTTGACTTTTAGAATTTTTAAATACACTTTAAGACCATATTTTTGAATATTTGAGATTTTTTGTAACACTTAAGAATGATCCTGTGCCAATGCAAACTTCTTTTCTTTCAAAAAGGAACCCTTTTCACTTTTAATTATTCAGTCGATATTTTATTTTTGAGAATTTTAATGTACCTAAATAAAAAATTGAGGGAATAGTTCTTGAGTTATATAATGTGTATTAAGGTTAATATAGCTATGGTAATGGGTTAACCCTAGATTTCGATTTAGGCTTAGATGATTTGAACATTTTAGTAATTACTATTAATCTATCGATATTAAATAATTTGTAAAAATGATCCAAGTATAATAAACAATATATCTTATAATACGTCATATAGTTTATATTTTTGTAAAATATTTTTTAAGGATTATTATATATTGTTAATATAAACATTTTAATAACTCTGCAGAAACTACTCATTAAAATTTTCATTTAGATACATCAACATTTTCAAGAAAACCATCCGCTACATAATTTTCAGTAAAAAGGGAGGCTTCTCCTTTGAAAAATGGAAGTTTGCATTGCCACAAGACACTCCTTGAGTAATACAAAAAAAAAATTAGAAATTTAAAAATATATGGTTTCAATCCCTAAAGACGAGCCGCACTGCCATAACTAAATTCACCAGATTACGCACGGGCCACAGTCTACTACCACACCACTCGTTTAAATTGGGACTCAACAGTAGCACATATTGTCCCCTACCCAACTGTGGTGGAAAATACTGTGACTTCCTACACCTACTTATAAACTGTCCATCTCTCTCCATCCAAATATCTCAGCTAAAGAATCTCTTTTCCAACTTTGGTATTAATTTTTCCCTCATTGACGCTCTTTCAACCGACAATGTTAACATAATAAAACATACACTAAATTCTATTCTGCAAATCAGGCCTCCGAATTTAAGAGTGTGAGCTTTACCAACTATATTATTCCACATGAATGTAAAAAATTGTCGAGATATAATGTAATGTTAAAATCTCATTAATAGAAAAAAAGAATGAAAAAATATGGTCTTTAGTTAAATATTCTAAGAATCAGAATTTGAATAAACGTACTATTAAACGGAAAAATGGTGCAGAGCGTGCCCAAAAAATCAACATGTGTCGACACTCGTGCTGATATTTTCAAGAAAAATTATTAAAACAATAATAGGCTGTTTAATTATTTAAACAACAAAGGTTTATATATGGGTATGGACTTTTACAAACTTCATATAGGGGGACGGAGTGGCCAAGTGGTCTAAGGCGTCGGTTGTGACGCAGCGGGCGCCGGTTCGATTCCTTGGTCACGGGCGGCATTTTTCTTCGGGCAAGTTACGGTGTCCTGAGAACAAGTGCCACCATCCCCCACCTGGGGATGGCAGATACCTACGGGTGCCCAATCAAAAATTCTGCCAAACACAAAAACCCACCACCACAATACAACCCTACTGATAGCTAATGGCCATGGATGCGGGGCTTAAGGATCAATAAAAAAAAAAAAAATTAAAATACTTCAAAGCCGCTTGTTCTCGATTTAAAGTCTGAAAAGATATTTCACCCTATACGTGCATTATAAATAATAATAGGTGATAAATGACCAATGTCCGATTGCAAGTATAAAAATATAATATGTATCGTAGAACCACAACAGACCTTCAACGGCATAGTGGCGCCGCACAAGAATCCTACACTCTGCGACGTCAGGGAAGTTACCGTCAGGAAAACGGCGAAGTAACCGAATCGCACGAATTCCAACGGTTGGCCGGTAATCGCGTACGCCGGTACGATGTAGACGAGACAACACAACGTCTGCGACAAAAAAAATGAAAATATAATAACGTTGATGGGAGTTTTCTCGAACAGCGGTTGTAGGTATAGGTACCCACCTGTAGCGGTATTTCGACCAGCAATACGGATACGAAGTACGAGAAAAGCGTGTACCAACCGTTGAAGTGTTCCCTCTTCAAGACCATGTACTCCAATGGGACTGGACCAATGATGTCGGTGCGTTTAAACAAAATATATAGTTAATGAGTATAATAGTATAATATAATATGAGTTTGAGCGCCAAAGTGATTATTAATATAAAAGCGACACTTTTATAACAATAATAATATTGTACCGTATGATTATATTATATTAATATGCTCACAAGAAACGATGACGGCCATCAGACCGGTGTAGACCAAGAACAAATTGGAACCGTACACGAATTTCATGTTGGTGAGCACTCGAGCAGCGTCGTTTCCCATTCCGCGGTACATGTAACTCATTATGAGAGCTACGGCCAAATGGACGGCGATCCGCAACAGCAGGTTAGTCTGAAAAGTTTCCAACCACGGTTACCGCATTGCGACCGCGACGTTCGAAAGTGAAGGCTACGCCGTGTGTTGTGTCGTGTCGTGAACAAGTCACACTACGATTGGACGTTACTTGTTACTTGTATATTGTGATAACCAATAAGTTGTGCATCCGACGACACCAAGAATTGACTACAGCTCGAATTTTAAACAAATATGGTTACCACTCGTAACCATACGGTTACCACGCCCTCGCACGACACGACACGACACAAGATGTGAATCCGGCTTAACCGTTTTATTATTCGTAGTTTAAACCGCAACACATCGTGACGTTTCAGATTCTGAGCTAGTCATTCCACTGGTCTTATAATGGGTTATTTTTTTCTCAGGTAAGTAATTAAAAACCTTTTATTTAATTTTATCCCTAATGCTTAGTTTCAATCAATTAAAAAAACTTTTAAACACTGCATAGCTATTATATTACCTATGTACGATGGCCGTTACGGGCAGCAGTTGAACCATAACGCGCTCGTGACAGAGAAGTTAGCGTACTTTCCATTATATTCTTAAGAGTGGACCAAACAAACAATTATATCACATAGTTTGTTGACATGACGTGTTGATGCTTTTCATACCCACTAATTTATATTAATTGTATGCACATTGTACCTAATATTCACTACTAATTTTGTTGTTTGAATCAGCCGCACTTCGTTTAAACTTTAAACTCGAGGTGCAGCGGTTGATCTATTTTCCAACAGCAAAAATAAAAATTAAGACGACACTATACGTTTAAATGAAATAGTTTATATTTTACCATAAATGATATCATCAGTTTGAAATTATTTAAAATTTAATTTATCGCTTAAAAATGTTTGGAATTTTGTCCAACCAATAAAATGTTAGTTATCCTTAGGCTGACGGTAAATCAAATTATATACTACGAGTTTCATTTGGGAACGAACAATAAAAACATTTCACAGCCGTTAAACTATGACTTCAAATAAATATATATTGCTTACTATATTATTATAGTCTAATCTAATTAACCATTAATATTATAATTTATGTAAATTTTTGACAATAGAACTCAATAACTGTCTTATAACAGTATACTTATACACAATATTATGTATTATACAGTTATAACATAACGAGCATACGGAAATTAATTAATAACACATAATTATTAATAAATAGGTATAGTTTGTATAGATATTTTCTTAAACAATAAGTAAACACTTTGTTATTGTGGTTATAAAGTAAAACATTTGACATATATAGGTAGGTACAGTCGTACAGACAAACGTCCTAATTAACCTACTTAAAACTCGCGAAATTTCAATAGGAAGAATTTTAATCGAACTTGTGACTCGTGAGCGACTTCAGAGTCTCATCGTCGTTAAATATAATAATATGACAAACAGAACTCCATCTGATTCGCATAAAAGTTTGAGACTGGTTTGGAATATGTTTATATGTTGGATATAATATTGGATAATATTGGAATATTTTTATTTATTCTTCAAGAAGATAGTGGGCCCTATTGAACATGTTCATGAATATTATATTGTTTACTCACTTTGTTGCGTTTGTATATGGTTATGTTTCTCAAATATAAACGATAGATCTGTACATAAAACGGAGGCTTATTTAAAAGCTCTGTTTTATACGGTAATTGTTCGTCATTGGTATTGTTGTCTTCCTGGCACTCGCCTACAAAACGAATAGATTTGCATTGCAATTTATCAATATCATCGGACCTATTATAGTTATTAAATGTGTTACAATATATTTTTATAATAAGAAAGAAACTCACGAATTTCTAGTTCTATTGTATCGTGGTCTTGGCCAGAAATTGTATGACACTTGTTGCGGCCATTTGTGTTCGTGATTTTTGTTGTATCGAACAATCCGACGAGTACGTCGGTACCATATTCACCTATGGCCACTTCGATCACTAAGAAAAATATATAATATTATATACCTACTCGATGGTTTTTTTATGTATAGGAATAATCGCCATTTTACATGTTTTTTGTCACAAGATGTTAAAATGGTCGATTGACTACTATTACATATTTTAACTTGGTAACTAAATAATAAAATATGTTTAATAAGTGTTATTATTGACATATTTTGTTTTTATCATGCGATTGGTACATGCTTTCCAACTTTTTTTTCAGTATGTACCAATTTTGAGTCATACACGATTATAATCCTCATATCATCCTCATAGTTGGTGCACCGACATAACAATAAATCATTATTGTATTATGCATCATATTATATTACACTCACAAAAGTCAGCCGGATTATGGTACGGTGGACATACGACTAACCGTTCGGCAAAGTTAGGAATGACTGAGCTGGGTGGCCCCTGGTAGATGCACCGGCCAGAGCTTAATGCATAAACTTGGTCAAACTTTTCGAACAGTAAAGCACTGGGCTGGTGCAATGTGCATACCATGGTACGGCTTTGGTTGTGGGCTAAGTCGGCCATCAGTGATACGAACTGGCTGCAAGATTGGCTGTCTAAACCGCTAAACGGGGCAAAATATTTAGATTTAATTATGTCATTATCATCGATGTCATTATTTGTGATTTTATTTCATTGTCATCGCATTATACTGATCATTATTATAAGTGTTGTCTAGTACTAGTTGTCACTTTGGTACATATCGAAAAAGTGATGATTTAGGTACCTCAAGAAGGTGTCTTACAATTTAGTAAATATATTAGTACGATGGGAATCATCAATAAACAATATCAGCCAAAAAGTATCATCCGGTACTCACGAGGTGGGCTCGTCCATGAATAATATCGACGGGTTTGTTATAAGTTCTAAGGCGATTGACAGTCTCTTTTTCTGGCCTCCGGAGAGCCTTTTGGTAACGGTGTCTCCGTGGATGGACAGCCCCAACGCGTCCAGCAGGTCCTCCACTTGGCTGGCCTTTGATACAGCTGACACAGTTGTCGGTAACTTGAGGTGGGCCGCCACCGTCATCGATTCCCTGACGGTCAACAGGTCTCGAACGTAATCATCCTGCTGTATGTAACAGCTGATGTTGGCCATTTGTTTTTCATCTCGCAACGAGTCGTTCAAATACACTTGGCCCGAACTTCCGCTTATCCTGCAACGTACATTTAAATCAGGGCCAGACTAACACTGACGTATTCACTGCAGTTTTTCGAAAATATAGCTCCGAAATATCGTGGATCAAAATACTTATTCGTTAAAAATAAATTGTGAGTACATTACCTATACCAACACTGCATGCCAGATGTCAAGTAAAAAATAGCTCGCTATACTAATCGTTATATTATAATTAATTCTTAAGAGGACGCTACCCATGTATTTGTTGTCTCCGTCTTACAGGCGCACGACATACCAAATTTCCATTCGCTAGTTTAAATAGTGTGTTGTTAGTTTTAATATTAGAGTGAATTGACTCATTATCATACTAGGTATTAGGTAAGAATATTATCTGTGCTTAAGCGTTGTCGATTTTTAAATATTTTCATTTTCAAGTAAGATATGTGTACGTGAAATATCAAAAATTTTAAATGCTCATATCTCGCTTGAAAATTAAAATATCGAATAAAAGCCAACGCTTAAGCACAGATAATGTTATTATCTAAATATGTTATAATAGGTCAATTCACTCTAGTATCAAAACTAACTGCATACTATTGAAACTAGTGAACCACAATTTGCTATGTCGTGCGTGTGTAAGACGGAGACAACAAATGTATGGGTAGCGTCCTCTTAATGAAATTTTGATTTGTCTAGGTATCTTTATAGTACAATAATCGGCGTGTAACCTGTAAGTAATTTGAGCGCAGACGTTTTCCAAACTTTTTGGAATCCGACTACCGTCATGATCTTAACAATATATAATAATATAATATAGAAGTTTGGCGAGGTGGGATATAAAATCGTGGATTTAAAATCCAACGATGGGAAATTTCTCTTTAAAACTTAACTAGTTAAAGTTGGTCTAATTGAAGTAAGGTCTAAGAGTAAATTATATTGTAAATAGTAATACAGTCGATTCCGCTTTATTGGGACACATCGGTTGGCTGTTATTTTGTCCCAATAAAGCGGTTGTCCCAATAATCCGAAATACAAAAACCCACATATAAATTTGTTGAAAAACTGATTTGTTTTATATATTTTTATTATTACAAATTACAAACAATGTATTATAGAAATTATTTGATAGTACAAAAAGAAAAACATGATATAACCTAATTATTTATAAAAATACTTACATATAAAGTACATATAAATATTTTTTTATTTTTTTATTATGTATTTTATCTTATTTAAAAAAACTGTTGATTTCGGTACTCCTAAAATTTCCGAAAGACGACGTGTATTACAGCCTGGTAGCTGTAATTTAATTTTGTCCAGAATTTCTAATTTTTGAGCAAACGATAAATCTTTACGTACACGAGCCATTGTTGCTACACGCAACAAACACGACTGATGCACCATTGCACCAAATAACATTTAACAACTATCACATTTGAACATACGATAAAAGATAAGATAAAATAAAGTTAAATAAGATAAAATGTAATGTAATAATCGATTACGAGAGTCCGAGACGATTGTTGAACTATTGATCTATTAATATACTCGATAAAAATGTCTCAATTATCCGGATTCGTGGCCCAAATAAGCGGTGAATGTTTACCCTACAAGTATACATTTGTTTTTGTAATTGGAGAATTGTCCCTATTAAGCGGTTGTCCTTATTAACCGGTGTCTCTATTAAGCGGAATCGACTGTACTTAGGTAATTGATTTGATGATGCTGTCAACCCAATTATTCTAATTTGAATTAAGAAAACCTTACACCGACAGTTTTTGTCTCCGTCTTACAAGTGCACTTGTACGAATATACGTTATACGTTACATAGCAAATTTACCCTCAGCAGATTACGTTTATCTTGGTTGGTTTACAAACAAGAGTGAATCGATCTATTATATGAAACATGATGGCAAGAAAATTATCTGTGTTGGTATGTGTGTTTTTTACGATAATTCGATTTTAAGTGAGTTATATGAGAAATAATTCACTCTATACTATATACGAAAAACTTGCCAAAAAATTGAACTGTCGTATAAACCTACATACAAACACAGATAATATTCTTACCATCAAGTTTCATAATAGGTCGTCGATTGACTCTAGTTTTTAAACTAAAGGTGCTAAACGTGATCGGCTTAGAGTAAATTTGGTATGTTACGCACGTCTTGTAAGGCGGAGACAACAAATGTCTGTGTAGTGTCCTCTTAAGTTGTTACTATTTATTTAAAAAATATTTAAGAACAGCTTAATAATAGTCAGTGGTTTTTTAAATTTTCAAATATTATGTTCCATTCAAAATGAATATTATTTTGTATTTCAGAGACATTTTATATAATATGTCAAAAGAGTTGAAAGACTATATTATATATTATATACTATTATTATTATATTATTATATTATATACTATATTATATCCCGATCAGGTGTGTGTATATAAAAAAGATACGGACCAGCTAATATACATTTTTACAACAAATGAGAAAATACGAGTCACCTGCTCGATGAATCAAACAATCATTATGGTGTATAATCGTATATTATAATGACTAGTAAATCACAAACGAATATTCACCAAGTATAAGAGTGTTGTGATACCGGCTAAGGTATCAGCACGCTAATCACCAAAGGTAACAAAGACATAAAAATAGTTCTACATCAAATACTAATATTAATAAAAGTTATTTAACTTTGGAAAAAATAAAAAATTAATGCTTCAAAGTCTTCAGTGTATTGAGTATCCTACGACAAAAATGTTTTATTTTTCGAGACGTGAACGGTATTACAATTCACAATACAATATACTCTATACTATCACATGACTGTATCAGGATACAAGATAGTAGATACACTCAATACAGAATACAATAGTATCTGAAGATTTAAGTGTGAACTGGAGTACTGGACATGAACACGTTAATTTTTCAACAAATGAATTTGAACTATAAATTTATGATTGGGCAGTATCTCCGATACAAGTTACTTAAATATGTATCTCTACGACTCTGTGTAAATCATACAAAATTAACCCGTTCTTAACTGTCACTGCTAAAATAGTGTGGGATTCGTAAAATAACTAAAACATTAGTTTACAGGGCGATCGCCTTTGGAAATATTTTCACCTTATCGAATAGTGGTTTAGTTAATAAATTATTCTTCATAATTACAATAACCGTACCTATATGTACTTGCGGACCTCTGCAATGGGCCGGTTTCTATGGGTGTAATGAACGGTTTCGATGTATTCTCAACAGTCATCGGTATAACATTACACACCGAGGCACATGACTACGTTTATTAAAACTTTATTACTTAATGTACTCACGAGTATCCGGCGAGTACGTTGAGTAATGTGCTCTTGCCACAGCCCGACGGTCCCATGACGGCCGTTAGTTGTCCGGACCGGAAACTGCCACCGATGCCGTGCAAAATCTCCTTTTTCACTGAAGAAACGATTACCAATATTGGTTAGACACTCGGGTAATTACGACAATTACGAGGGATAGGTAATCGCCAAATCAATATTGTTGTTCAAACAAACAATAGAAACAATATTGTTTCATGATAAAAATAATTGTATATTATTATTATGCACACAACACTCTGCGAGTGACCATCGACGTGTACATGTTGTATAGTATGATACACATCACTCCCACTCGGTAAACGGTCACTTTGTACTGTCCATTGTTCTAAATGTACAACGCGGACACTTTGTACGGTCGGGTAAAAAGGTACATTGCAGAACGCGGACACTTTGTACTATTATATACATAAAGTATATATATTATAAATATAAGTTATATACCTAGGTTAGCAAGTAAATAATACTATATATTATATATGACAAATTTTACTAAAAATGTTATAAATACATTTTATATAATCTGGGGAATCTAACCTTTTGCAATGTTATAAATGCATTTCACTAAGACACTGTCATATTATACATGTAGGTTTTAAAGATTTTTTTAAATATTAAAGAATGGAAATTTGATATTTTATAGATCGTTCATTTTGACGAATTATTCTAAAATTGATTTATTAAACCCTTAATAATACAATTATAATACAATTAAGATTTATAATAATATTATTGATTGTTTGATTATTAAATTATTTTGATCATTATTAATATACGATAAACAATTTACTTTTTACTTTTAATTTTTATATTTTAATAATTTACATTATAATTTATAATATTATTATATACTTACTACTTAGGTATATAACTTATATTTTTAATATATATACTTTATGTATATAATAGTACAAAGTGTCCGCGTTCTGCAATGTACCTTTTTACCCGACCGTACAAAGTGTCCGCGTTTCGCACTTTTAATGCTCGACCGTACAAAGTGACCTAGAACCCTCCCACTCACGATCATATGTGCACATTGCACATTGCATAATATGCCACAATATACCAATATTATTAGGGAACCACAAAACAATAAGATGTATTGTTTTTTTTGTACCTACAACAAGTTGATGTATTATATTTAAATAAGGTAAATTCACTACAAATACAACTATATTATACATTTATATTATTATATTATATTAGTCTTCCATGACGATATCGATATCTGCAGAGACAATATTGTGATATTGTTTTAATAATAATATATAATATATGATTGATTACTATCTCTGAAAATAACGTATACACTGTGTACGCCAAAATTTCAAAATTTCAAAATTTAAATTACAGTTTCCGCCACCACTTGTCACCAACTAATATCAAAATAGTCGATTCCTGTTTCCAGTAAATATTATAGATACATCATAATATGATTATTTATATGAGCTTCCGGCTCGAGCATCAGCCTCGCCAAGCTTAACAAAAAATGCAGGGAAACCATTAGGTACATTTTAATTTTGATTTTAGTTTCTATTCAACTGATTCTAATAATTTTGTATTCATAGAAAAATGTTTAATATTACTTATGGAGACTTATTTTTAATTAAATGGTTTAAAAGAACTAAGAAGATTTTAGAATTTTAGAACAAAAAAATTGTACAAAATTAAAAACATTAATAAATTATTAATATAAAATAATGGAATTATATACATTCTACCTCTATATAAATTAGATACATCACAAAGTATGCATATATTAAATTTAAATATTATAAACATTATCCATTAATTTTACATTTTTAAGCAGGTACCTTCAAAGTTCAAACGTACTTACTTTCTGGTCACTGTGAGCATGTAAGCATTTTTATATGGAGTATAAGTGTATTTTGGTTTTAAAAATTGACAATAATTTAAAACATATCCATTAAACTAATTATCGATTTAAAAATAACGTACACGAATTAGGTATTATAAAAGGTTAATAAACAATAAACCCTAAATAGTTAAATGCATAATATTTTGAGATTTAGATGAATATTCGTGCTTCAAGTACCATATAGTGCCTCATATAAAAACAATTATAATTGTGAAAAAAATATCATCACTACCGTATGGTTTTAATTAGATGAATAATAATATGCTTATTCAACACATTTATTCGTACCAACAAATAATTAAAATAAGAAGACGGGCAGAGTTGGATTTGGTATGTATTTTTTCAAGTACCAAATTTATTATTATAGTTTATAATTAACGTTAAGCCTTAAGCTTTAAGACTTATCAATATGATATTTGTTTTAAGTACCATAGAACAAGAACCTCACCATAAATTATTTACAAAAATACAACAAGTTTTCACTATGTTTAGGTGGGTACAGAATCTATAAAATATTTAACTTTGAGATGAATATATTGATTTTACTACGATCTTTTTTTATGTATTTGTAAACAATATTATCTAGTAGAACGTTTGTTTTGATTTTCAACTTCAATAACTGTTTTGGTAGGAAAAAAAATCTAATTGGTCTTTTTAGGAGGTCAAAATTAAAAATTCCAAGATTTTTAAAAACAATGTATTCAGATAAACAAAAATAAATTAGGGAAGAACGTGAATTTTCGAGCAAACCTAGTTATGACAAAATCGATTTTCTTATTTTGTTAATATTTTAATTCTCATGAGCAACCTATTTTATGTTGACATTTGACATTTTTCATTTTCTTTTTAATTTTTTTTTTCTATTATATGGGACATGGGTACTTAAATTCGTTTTCGCTTGGTCAAAAAGATTAAAAATGTAATATAAGATTCCTCATAAGTAGGTTATATGATGTCACTTCATACCTCCCAAAAAATCTAAAAAATATATAAACAACATATTTTTTATATTCTAATTTGCAGGAATATAGTAATAATATAATATATCTAGAATAATTATTTTAGATATTTTGTTTATACCTTCTTAAAAAACATTTTCCGTGGTGATTAGACCTTTTTTACGTAAGTATATTACTTATATGTATATATTTTGAAAAATAGTGTACACAATGACATTTTAAAAATTTTTATATTAATTTTATGCTATTGACCATTTATATAACGTACCTATTCTACCATTCTACTAGGTATATTGACTAAAAGGCTCGCTAAAAGGTTAATAGCACCATAATAATATGTGATTTAAATAGGTATAGTATATTGTATTATATTTAAATACTATTATAATAATTAAATATTAATAATATAATGAATGTCTAATTTAATACAAATTTGAATTAAAACCACTCATAAAAAAATATTCTGACTTCACTAAGTACTTTTAGATTTTGAGAGGAGTGATGAATGTATTGATTTTACAATATGTGTATATTTTGTGTCTGACATCACAATATTTGGGGCAGTAAAGCTGCTACTATTTTCTTCCACAGTATCTTATTCGATGGTAAAGTGAATCTAGTTGGTGCATTTGGGAGGCCAAAAGATTCCCAATAGTTTTTAAAAGCGCCGGGAAAACAACATACAATTTAAGGAAAATGGGGAATCTAAAAGGAAATTTTTACTCAAAATCAGTTTTCGACAAAATTAGAATGATTTTATTCAAGTGCAACTTGCCCACCTTTTTTGAAATTTTAATTTCCAGTAAATAAACTTAAGAGCAATAAATTATGATTTATGGGAAATCATGTATCAAATTTTTAAAGGTTATATACTTAATTAATCTTTTTATGCATTTTTTACGACAAAATATTTTTTTCTAAAATGTTCATGATCTTGAAAAATTTTGTAAAAATTTGAGTTTTGTATGCTTCTTAAAACTATTGTGACAGATATGTAGCTTTAATGTTTTTTTTTTGCGTTGAAAAAACTTTAAAAAAATATCGTATAAATTTTCAACGTTTGCATTTGCAAATCGAAAATTGTATTCTTCAGAAACCAAAAAAATCTAAAAATTAGTCCACAATTTAAAATATATATAAATACCATTGGAATATAGTAAAAGAAAATGAAAATGATATCATATCTAGTAAATGCAATGATGTAAATATTTTAGTGAAAATGTGAGGTCCCACGAAATGTAAAAAATGTATTATATTTTGCCTCTGTTTTCTGTGTAATTATAGCTATAATGAAAATTACTATTATTATAATATGACATAATTCGACATTGACAAATATTTTTTTATTTAAATTTAATTTTAACCACATTATACTTGTTCCAAAACATAATACAAACTATATTATTTTGTAATGTACAAAATATCATTGTTTGTTTCACAGCAAAATGTACGGATACCTAGGTACCTATATATTGTAAGTACATGATATTAAAACAATAATATAAAAATTATTTTAAAAATAAATTTGTTTTAAAACCGGTGGCTATAATATACGTCCTACCATTGATTACAAATACTATTCCTAACTATGTGGCTGTGTATAATAATATATTTATACCTTTTTTCAACTTTATATAGGTGTTCACGGTGTAAGTGAGACTTTTGAACGACAAGTGGACTTCGGGCTTTTTCGGGAACGATTGCAGCGCTCTTTCGGTGGTCTGCACTTCTTCGTTGTTGTTCTCGGTCTGGCGGCGCTTGGCGTGGTCGACCATCTCGGGAGAGAGACAGAATAACGACACTGGGAGACGGAGGAAAAATAGTGATCTTCGAAAATCGTTACCTTTACAGCATCACACACCGGCACTGTCTGCGTGTGCAGTGAAGCTCGTGAATGGCTCGACGACGACGATTTTATTTTATTATTTCAAAAACACGACGACTCGGGGCCGCACCACCGGTGGCAATAAACGACGTGTGCCATCACGAGTCAGTCCGGCGTAGTCCGAACAAGGTATTATATAATATCGAAATGGGCCCTATGCGGGCTACCAGGCAGGCAGGCAGGTGCAACCGTAATTATATTAATTATATATAGACGCGAAACGACGACGGAACGACGACGACGACAACATAAAAAAAAAAATCGATTTCCGCCAAAAACCCCGAACACGCGTGTTGTATAATATTATTATTATTATTATGACGTTTGTATAATATTATGACGTGTTCGGTCGGAGTGCTTTGCTAGTTTTCCGCGGCAGCGGGTGCGTCGCCCGGGGGGGAATACTTTAAAACGAACTTTTCTGATGAAAATAAACGAAAACGCCAACGCTCGGTGATCGACCGTCGTCCGCCGTCGCCACTCAACTGTATATGATATTATGTTGTGTTCCGTGTCGATCGCGACCATTATTATAGTACTGTACATTATACAGCAATGTTATCGCACATTTATATCGATATATTATTATTACATTGTTGTTACACTGCGAGTAGGTACTATAATTGATATCCGCACAGCACGCTCGCCGCGTCGCGAGGCCTATCACGATTCACGACGAGTGACGACCAATGATAAATTAATAACCTGATATATAAAAATATCGTGTCACAATGTTTGTTACCAAACTCCTCCAAAACGGCTGGACCGATTTTCATGAAATTTATTTGTGTATATTAAGTAGGTCTCAGAGAGTGATGTAAACTATTTTTCATACCCCTGGGTGTAGAGGGTGGCTCACCAAAATATTTTTTTAATATTTACCATTTAAATTGTATATTTATATATTATTAGATTAGATTACGTTTCCACCTACCTGCAACCTGACCTTTTTGTCGGTTTTTACTTTTTATCGGCGTGTAGATGTACCTAATTGTTCCGAGAAATTTATCGAACTATATATTATACCGATTATGCAATGGGGTTTTATCGACTCCGCCGTTTTAATATCAATTCCGCCGGCTATCGATTCCGCCGGATTTTTGTTTATATTGATTCCGCCGACTATCGATTCCGCCAGTTATTTATTTATGTTGATTCCGCCGACTGTTTATTAAACAATAACCAAAGTACATATTGTACAGAATTTTTTTTTTGAAGTTATACTTCTTTACGCACGGTAGTGAGGAAAAAAAAAAGCGAACGGGCGGCGCGTACGAACGGGCGGCCGTACGAACGCGAAAGCGTACATGTCCGTAAATAAATAAATATTGTCATGGTAATGTTGTTTTATTATATATTATAATATATATATGTATATACCTGTATATATAAAACAGTAAGCTGATTGACTGCTATCAACGCACAGCTCAAACCATTGGACGGATCTGGCTGAAATTTGGCATACAGATAGCTACTATGATGTAGACGTGCGCCGCTAAGAAAGGATTTTTCGAAATTCGCATTTTAAATAGGTGCTCAAACAGGGACATTGAGATTCAAGATAGAAATTGGAAATTTTATTTTTATTTATTAATAGTTACCATTGGTTACAGTCTACATTAGAAATTAGCATTTATTTATTGGTTGCCATTGGTTATTCGGGCAGATCAGGTACAAGCTTGCATCAAATCAAATTATTGAACATTGCCTACCAGAGTGGCTGAGTTGCACTTACCCCAGCCAGTTACACCCAAAAGGAGTTCAACAATCATAATTTTTTTAAGAGTTGTGATTTTTTACGAGCAACCAAATTTGTTATATGAATAATTAATGATCAATTATTATTTATTTTTATTATTATTATTAGTATTCACTCACAAATCTATTGTCTGGATAAAAACAATACTACAAACAATTACCCATCGATCTGTCGAATAAAAATATAAAAATAATAATAAAACTATCAATAATAAATAATTCCGGATACTTCTTCTCATTTTTTAAATTAATTAATATTTTTTTCTTTCTTTTTCACTCACTCACGTGTACCATTCAAAAGAAGTTTAACTTCCCGCGCGCGTACTGGTAACACACATGGTTTTTAATTAACAGCACAGGTTAGGGTACACTTAGACACTTAGTATAAAGTAAGTTTTATATAAATAAAAATATTGTCGTCCATGAGGGATAATATTTATTAAAATAATAAAATAATATAACTCAAATATCTAGTGATTATTATTTTTAAAAAATGAAGTAAGATCGTAATATTTTTAAATAGAGTTATATTATATAATGTGGTCAATTTTTAAAATAATTAACAGTATAGGTTAGGGTACACTTAGTTTTCCATAATAGTATAAATTAAGTTTTATTTGAATAAAAACAATTCAAACATTGTCGTCCATAACGGATAATAATATATTATAAAATAATAAAATAATATAACTCATATATCTAGTATATCTAGTTTTACAAAATGAAGTAAGATCGTCATATTTTTAAATAATTAATTATTTATAATAATTCCGTATTATGGTAAGGTAAAAAAAAATTAAACAATACAAATATATACAAATTGGTCATTTTTTAAATAGTGGTTTGATGCTAGTTTTATATAAGTGAATCTATCAATTTTTTTATTTATATAATCGTCAAAAATGTTAGCTATATATTTTTTTTTTTTTTGATGATTTTTATTTTTACTTATTTTTTTGTTGTTTAGTCCTCTTATTATTATATACGAATTAGTTTGTATTGCAGTTTGTAACTTAAATGTTCATTGTTCGTGTATTATTCTACTTCAACTTATTTTGTTACGAGTTAACTACAAATTACAGTAAGTTATAGTGTGTACCTACTAATGAAATAAAATATATTTTAACATAAATGTAAACATAAGCCTTTTACATGTTGTTATTACTGTATAATGTAAAAAAATTCGGTGGAATCAATATGTAAAAAAGTTCGGCGGAGTCGATAGCCGGCGGAATCGATATGTAAAAAAGTTCGGCGGAGTTGATAGATTTTTTACAGGTAAAAAGGTAATTTCGGCGCAATCGATATACGCCCTATGCAATAGGTATCCCTTAATATTAAACGACCACGTATTATAATACTATAATATAAAAATGAATCGCAAAATGTGTTGGTAAGCGCATAACTCAACACCGCCTGGACCAATTTGGCTTAAATTTTTTTTTAAATGTTCGTAATTGCCAGGAGAAGGTTTTTATGAAAGAAAGTTTTAGGAAAATCTACCGGAAAAGTAGGAAATCTGGATGTAAAAAAACAACAGTGGCGCAACAGTGTATTATATTATATTGGTTGCTATTGGTTAATCGGGCATGTTTGTTGATTTGTATTATTGTTTTTTGTCAATATATCCTATTAATATTATAAATGCGAAAGTTTATGACTTTGTTACTCTTTCACGTAAAAAATACTAGACCGATCTTTATGAAATTTTTACACTGTGTGTATTTTGGTCCAACTTAAGACATAGGCTAATTTAAAAAGGGAGAGGACCAACCCCGGGAGGTGCTCAATCGGGAATTTTGAGATTTCAGATGGAAATTTTTGTTTATAAATGGTTGCCATGGGGTTTTAAGCTATTATAGTAATAATAAAAATAGAAAAAAAAATATATTTGCTTTACTTTTTAAATATAAATTACCTATGTTTAATGGGATTAAATAAATCGATTATTTTAATCAACCGTAGGTGGAATTAATTAAAAACGACAAACTTGGTATAATTTTGATACTTTAGAATTGAATTACTTTAGACTACACTTACGTACATACAGAACGGGGTCCGCGATCTATCGCAGGTAGATTGCCTACCTGATAATTTACTGCTGCGATTCAGAATTTTTATTCCGGGCAACGGAAAAGTTAAGATAAATTTTGAGCGCCGTACACCGAATATTAAATAACGAATTGAACAAAGTTTGAGTCGTATAGAGTTGATCCATTTAACGGGCAACGAAGTGTACGGGATCAGCTAGTAATATTATAATTATTACTATTATTATCATGCATATTGATATTATATTCAATAAGTCAATATTATAATAACAATATGAATATAGTGTCCACGTGGTTAAAATAATAACTGTGATAGTAATTGGGGCCCTTTATTAATAATAATAATTGACGATTCATTGTTTTTAATCATCCCGCCCAGAGACTCGTGCACTGCGTTTTCATTGAATTTCAGACGATTAAGTTACGGCCTATGTAGTTGTAATATCGTTGTCGAGTTAATTTTCAAAACGAATGTCTCCAATTTTTTGGGCCATAAGTAATACCACAGTACCTACATAATTATTTGTGGCCTGGGGGGGGGGGGGGGGGTTGACTTCGGCTGACGGGTGAAATACTACATGATTTACTTTTGCGTCTTAAGCCGGGTTCACACTTCACCGTGACGTGTAAAATAATCACAGTTAGCGAACGATATCGCATAGTTGAATATATTCAACTTTCGACCGTGAGGTTACATTTATGTGCGCAAAAGTGATAATTAAAATAAAATTATATTATGTTATCATCAGGTACAATATTCATATCATTGGTAATGCATTTTGGTATAAACATCAAAATACGAGATTACACGACACGGTGTAGTGTAAACCCGGCTTTAGATTTATAAACATAAGTTTAAAACGCCCTATATCCCCGTCTAGTCTGTCCGTTAGTTACCAGTACATAGTATTATGATGGCTGTGGGTGAGTTGCGGTCAGAGTAACTATTGATGAAATGAATATATCGTTTTTGATCGTAAATGATTAACTTGACACTTTTATCGCAATGTTTCGTAACAAATAGAGTCATTCCACAATATTACATTATTTTGGAACTATTTCATTTTATTCTACAATCATTCCTCGGATTTATAAACTTCTATCGGAAGTATATCAGAGATCTGTCTGAATTCACGGCTGTATTGAGCAAACTATTAAAAAAACCCAACCCATGGATATGGGGAAAAGAACAACAAGATGCATTTGAACAAATCAAAAATCTATTCTTAGAAGATATTATAATTCAATATCCGGATTTTACCAAACCCTTTTACCTATCAACGGACGCCTCTGGGACGCATATAGGGGCCGAATTATTTCAAATCAACGCAGAAAACAAACATCAAACCTTAGGATTTGTCAGCCGAACACTGAACGAAGCTGAACAACGCTATCATACTACAGAACTTGAACTATTAGCTATCGTTTTTGGTTGTAAGAAGTTCCGAAACTATATATTGGGCTATCCAATTAACGTAATGACAGATCACCAAGCCCTAGCATTCTTACATAAATGCCAGTTATTAAACAGTAGACTTACTCGTTGGTCAATAATTCTCCAAGAATACAACTTAACCATTATACATATCCCGGGGAAAGAAAATGTTGGTGCAGATACTTTAACCAGGTATCCACAACACCCTGATGAGTGCGAAAGAACCAAATGTATTAACCTCACATTGAATCGACTTATGCTGATCGATTATAGTGACAAGTTACAAGAACAATTTTCAAAATTTGGCGAACTACAACAACAAGATCCAAAGCTAAGAAACCTAATACATCAAGTAACAAAAAAACCACAGGAACGATTCCTAATACACAAAGGTATACTATTTTCGATAGGAAAAAAGGTGGGCAAGTGGGTGTCGCTCTGCTGTACAGTAGGTTACAAGTGGGTCACTGTATAATGGATGATATTAAATTTGAATTCAACGATATAATATCATTGTATAAGAAAAACGATTCTGAGCGCAGACGGTATGTCAGTCTATGTATAAGACATATTATATACATATCTATGGTATTAAACAAAAAATTGACCTATAATGGGTACCTATAATAAATTCCAAATTAATCATATCAAAATATCCATTAGGTACTTATAACGCGTTATACATCAACAAAAACCGTGATACTATCATAGATATATAATAGTACACTTTAGAAGTTTCAAGTATCCACGAATAATATTATTCAATCACAACAAAATAACTAAAATAGTTATTCTAGGTTTTTTAATATGTAATTTCGTCCAAATTTGAATTTAAAATGTCTGTAAAAAATAACTGTGTTCATATATTTTTTAGATTTTTTGGTTACAGTATGAACTATTTACGAGAACCTTTGTGTTGAATTTGCAATCCTTAGCTATAAAAACTGAACATTTTATAATTTATTAATTACAATGATTGATAATTTTCGAGATTTTGATAAATTTTGTCAAAATTTGATCTTTAAATGCTTATAAAAAAAAAACTGTGCCTATGTATTTTTAATATTTTTCAACTGATATTGTAACAATATATCAGGAGCCTTGTATTAAATTTTTACACTTTTTGGCCCAACAGATAAAACTTTATTGATATTTATAGAAAAAAAAACTAAAAAAAATTGAAATCTGTAAATGTCCATAAACAGCTCAAAAAGAGTCAAAATATTTTCAAAATTGTATGGTGTATAGAAAATGCTAATTTAAACATTCAGTGAAATTTTCATGTATCTACAGTTGTTCGTTTTTGAATTACAACAAAATAAGGAAATCGCTACATGAGAAATCGAGTGAAAATCCAATGTTGTAAAAATTTGAATTTCAAACGCTCATAAAAATTTAATTTGACTGTCCGGTAGAGATTTTTTTATTGATAAAGGTAGATAATCTTATAAGGAATCTTGTGTTTAATTTTCAAATCTTAGATTTAAAAAGAAAAATTTTTACGAATTCTTAACTCAAAATAATTTGCTAATTTTCGTGATTTTCCCATATTTTGTCAATTTTTGAACTTTAAATGCTTATAAAAAAAAATTGTGACTAAGGATTTTTAATATTTTTCATCTGCCTTTGAAACAATATATTAGGAGCCTTCTATTAAATTTTCAAGCTTTCGCAACCAACAAATAAAATTTTATTGATATTTTTAGAAAAAAAACTAAAAAAAAATGGAAAATGAAAATGTCCCTAAACAGTTCAAAATAAATCAAAATATTTTGAAAATGTTATCGTGTATAGAAAATGCAAATATAAACAACCAGTGAAAATTTCATGTATATACGTTCATTTGTTTCAGAGTTACACCAAAAACCAAAATCGATTTTTTGGAAAACCAATTTTGCGTAAAAATTCCCGTTTTTCCTTAATTTTTATGTTGTTTTTCCCGGCGCTTGTGAAAACTACTGGGAAATTTATACTTTTGACCCCCCAAAGTACCAACTAGATTCACTTTCCTATCAGAAAAGCTACTGATGAAGAAAATCCAAGCACTTTTACTGTCCTAAAACGTGATGACAGACACAAAAAAAAATAAAAAAATAAAAAAACACACATCATTGTAAAATCAATACATTCATCGTTTCACTCAGAATCTAAAAATAACAAGTATCGAGCTATGGTACCAAGTGTTATGAACCAACAGCTTATTCAAGAAACACATGAACACTTCGGACACGCAGGGACATATAAAACATATGAAGTGCTCCGACATAATTACCAACTGAAGAATATGTATCGAGCAGTGAAGCGCATTACCAAATCATGTGACCTGTGTCAACGGAGAAAAATTAATAATCAACTGTCCAGGGGACCAATACTATCTAATATACCCGAAGGACCCAGACATACGGTTTCGTTGGATCTGATGGGACCACTTCCCAAGGGGCAGTTTGGTGCAAAATATATATTGGCAATAATTGATATTTTTTCTAAATATATCAAACTATACGCACTTCGGCGAGCCACTACAGAAAATATATTGAAAAAAATAACAAAAGATTATATGCCGAAGTACGGACCGGTTAAGCAAATACTGACCGACAATGGTACTCAATTCAACAATACCAAGTGGTATGATCGGTTACAATACATGAGAGTGAAACCATTATATACTACCACATATCATCCTGAGAGCAACCCCGTGGAGAGAGCTAACAGGGAAATCGGTAGAATATTGAGGACATACTGCCACGCCAAACACACTAGTTGGGTACAATGGCTACACACAATCGAATTTTGGCTCAATAATACAACGCACGAATCTACAGGATACACACCTCAACAAATTATGTGTGGAACCCGCCATAAGCTTACGATTGACAAATTAATAGATTTCCCAAAAGAAGCGGACGCAACTTCAGAGATGATCATATGCGAATTAGTGAAAAAACGTTTGAAAAAATGCGCCCAACAAAGAAATCAAACCAAAGATAAGAACAAAAGATTTATCACCTATCAACCAGGACAACAGGTGTTAGTCAAAGAACATCGGCTATCATCTGCAGAAGACAAAACTATACATACATTTTTCCTACTATATCGTGGACCATATGATATAGTTGAAGTAAGAGGAAATAACACCGTTACAATCAAATTGGAGTCAGGTCAAACGCAAATGCACAATATGAAAAATGTCAAACTATATGTTCCTCCAGACCCCGGAGAGGGCGTCATGAACATCAACCACTAGTCAACATACTGGAAAGATGTCGACCACCTGTGCCAATAAAATAATCATAATCATCCTTTTGTTTATTTTAGGTGGTCTGATATCGCGTTTACGATGGCACACCCATGGCCCACGGAACCCCATGAAAAACAATTGCTACTACACCGATTAAGGGACAAGTACAGCCGATTATTTGGGCCCGAACATCTAGAAGCGGATATGGTAGAAATATTAAAACCTGAACAGAACAATACCAGTATTGCCGTCAGAAAATATCATGTACAGAAAATCGAGATTAATAGTAAACCGGAAAAAACAGCACAGCAACTCAAGATCGAAGCCCAATACGAACGTAAGAGATCGGCGCTCAGAACCAGATATAAATTAGAACCCACTTTTACTATGCCTGATACCATAACAGCGGTGCCTGTTGTCAAGGATCCACACGAGCAAGAAGAGGTAGCAGCCGACACCACAGAGAACACGACGGCATCTGAAGAGATTCCGATAGATCAGCCAGAGGGATCAGAAATTGATTTGGAAATTATGATAAACCTCGAGGAGAAACAAGACATCGAAGGGATTGAAGACATTCCTCCGATAGCACCAGTCATCAGTAACCGCGAAAGGAAGAGGTTATTATGGCTGTCCAAAATACCTAAGAAACACTGAAGCAGGCAACTCAATTTTGAAGTATAAAATTATTTTCCAGTTTTATTTTTAAAAACCAGTATCTCAGAAAAGGCATCTGAGGATACGTAAAAGATTTACATTTTTTTTTTTTTTTAGTTCCCTTTCTTATTAATTTTTCATATTATTAAAAAAAAAAAAAAATAAATATAAAAGGGGACTATGTAACGAGACAGAATTAAGTCAATTTTAATACTACGCGCGCGCTCTAGTAGAGCGTGTACGCGCGACCTGAAAGTGTGTATCAACGGTTACGAATACCTGATACAGCTTAAAAACACTCTATAATATGTATAACGTTGGCGTTAGCCTTATACTAAACTACTAAAGGCCGCCAATTACAATTATAACGGGTGTAATATTAATTTTATGTATAGTCTAATGCTAATTCGATCAACACCAGCATTTTACATAGAGTGCGCGCTGGAGCACGCACTTTATGATATAGAAATAATTGCAAACATAGTAACATAATGAAACATCAAGTCGTCTGTCTGATTGTACCTGTCAATGTAGCAAGATCTATTCTTCCTAAAGTTCACAGCCGCCCAAGTACCAGCGATAACAGAAACGATACAAATATTGAATTAACGTCCTGTATTGAAACGCCATGCTGCCTGTCTTATCATGGTCAGAACACACAGATATACAGGCTGTGTGGATGACCAAAAGCACCTCGTACCCAGTACCGGATCGTATATATCGACTATATTATCGAAACGTCATCCGGTTATATTAATTGTCACACTTGTAATTGTACCCTCCTCTGGTTTACTGTGTGCAGTAATACGGACTCCGTATTGACAAGCTGCACACGCCTAAGCAAGAGGAGTGGCCCATAGCTGTAGTAGATTTGTGGTATCTAGTAATACGTGTACCGTATTGACAGGCTAGATACCACATCTCTCGGGAGTCGCTACCCCAGCCGCCGCTACTATTATCGCCGCCGCCGTCGGAGTTTCGCATCGTTGCCGCTGTCGACTAAACGTCGCGTCGTCGCTGCCGCCGTTATTTAAACTTTGTGTTGTCGTTGCCGCCGTCGGAATTTCGCGTCGTTGCCGCTGTCTGAACCGTGCATCATCGCTGTCACCTCCACTTGTGTGCCGCCGCAGCCGACCAAACTACGATCTACCCCGTGCCAGTGCCAGAGGAGCGTACTTATATTGGAAGAACCAGACTATCCGGAGATAACGGTTATCACCTACGTAAGTCTTGATATTATCCACCAAATAAATAAACATAACTGTAGCTCGAAGAGCGTTTATGACTACAAAAGAATATACTGTAGAATATATTATTTAATAAAACATAAAACCTAATAACGACAAATATCTGTAGCTCGAAGAGCACTGATGTATAAAAGAAAATATTGTAAAATCACTGATTTATTATTTGAAATTTATTTACGTGAGAATAAAAACACATAATTATATACAAGTCAAATCGATTGTGTTTTGCATTCTTACAAAGATAATCGATCGTCTTCAACAATCTTCTCAAAATATTCAATTAATCTAAACTTTTTTACTACGTATTTATGATTAAAAGCAACTATCGCATTTCTTAAACTGTTTGTATTATATAATAATTATATTTATCTATATAGTGTGATTTTTAAGTAGTTAAAAATTATTCTTACTAATAAATTATACTGTTTTTTTGCACTCAGGTCCAAGAACACCGATATAACTGAATACGTTGTCCGTATAATTTATAATAAATTTATATAATTTAACGGTAATAAATGTACCCTATTGGCTACTAGCAATATATATGTTTAAATATGTATATATAATATATAATATATTTTAGATTCTGAGTGGAACGATAAATGTATTGATTTTACAACGATGGTGTGTTTTTTTATTTATTTATTTTTTAATGAGGTGGCCAAGAGGGCCAAGGGGTGCCCAGGTCCCCCCTGGCAACGCCCCTGATTATCGTCATCAACGACACAAATACACAATTGACAGCGTATGTGCGGATTCGACAGAGAACCCAAAAGGGAAAAGGCCCCTTGGACGACCCCGTTTAAGATGGGAAGATTTAATAAAGAAAGACGTGGAATCGCTGAACGGTGGCCCAGATTGGAAAAGAAAAGCAGCTGACAGAGAGTCATGGAGGATTGGTTGTTTGACGGGATGGTCCCAGTGGCCGATAATAAACAAAGAAGAAGAAGAAGAAGAATGTGCGGATTCGACAGTCAGATTCTTGTAGATCGATGAGCGGGTAGGCGCAGAACCTATACTTACTTTTACGTAAACACAATGTGGGGTTCATAGAACAATAGTTATAATTATTATTATTTTAGATTCTGAGCCGAGCTATGAATGTATTGATTACAAAATTATGTGTACGTGTTTTTTAATTCCTTTTTCTGTTTGTTCTCACATTTTGGGGTAGAAAAATGTCACGACACCGGTGAACATAATATTATTTTATTGAGATTTTGTATACGTAACAAAAAAACTGTCAGTTAATGTTCTTTATGCTGCCTCCCTGTAGCATGTGAACATAATCATGTTTAGTGGGGTCATTGTTATGTTGAAATAAATAAAATCGGCTATCGAACGATTGAGAACGTTACACCTTTTTGGCCGAACGATTGAGAACACTTAAAAATAACAAAGAACTTACCACTGACCCCAAAAAAGAATACGATTGAGAACGAATTTACGTGCAACGTTGCCATATCATTTAATATTTATAAATATGTTTAAAAAATGTTTAAAAACTTTTATTTGCTACATACCACACATATTTATCATGAATATTAATTAATTTAAAAGAAAAAGCTTTTCGCTTGCAGTTTTCACGTACAACTTTACGTTCTATTATAGTAGAGGTGTAGGGATATCGGAATGATAATGCTTACCGAGTCTTTGAATCAATAATTTTTTTTCTGAGTCTGTTAGAATACTTGCAGTACATTTATTATTTGAACACTTCCATTTCAACCGCGTGTCTTTACGTTTCCGAATAAAACGATATTTATTACTATCTAGATAATAGTACTAGATCTTCACCTCGTTCACTTCGTATAATTTTAATTTCATTATTTTCCGTCATTCGACGAATAGTAATTTAAAATTTTAATATATTATAATATTTAATAATATATTTTAATATAATATTTTACAAACTGACGAATACTTCGTTGACGTTTGTGCGACGACTACAACGCCTATTAAGTCATTCTCTCGTATATCTGGTACCTATCTAAGTTATAAATAACATCCGATAAACTTCCGGTAAATATTAAATATCAACCGTATCAATCGTTCGGCCAAAAAGGAAAACGTTCTTTATCGTTCGATGGCCGATTATCGTGCTCAAATTATCTTTCGATTACATTTGGCAACGTTGGAAAAATAAATAAATATCAAGCGTTCTCAATCGTGTTACCAAAAATAACGTTCTCAACCGTAACGTTCTCAATCGTATTTTACCGATAAAATCGTACTCTTATTAATGCTAAGAACAAGAAACAACACTTTACTGTGTAAACAGAATAATTTTATTAGATCATAATTTGATGACAATTTTTTTAACAATTTTGATAATGTTTATGCCGAAATAATGAGATAGAATACAACTGAAGTCGTAAAAAACAAACAATACATATAATTATTTTAAAGAAAAAAAGGCATCGGACAAGACGAGGCGATGTGGGAGGGGTACGTGATGGGGAGTGGGTGGTGATGCAGATAATGATGGCCACTGGTCACCTAAACACAGTTCTCACGGCCAGTCCTGCGGGGCGGACGAGAGTCGAGGGCGCGTGTGCCCTGGACGCGAAGACGACCATGGCAGCGGACGAAGCCCGGCCACGACGGCTGCGAGAGCGATGACGGCAGTTGGTGACGAGCGATGACGGCAGTTGGTGACGAGCGGCTAGGGCGCGATGTAGTGCGCTAGACGGTACTGCAGGCGCCGAAGACGACTGTTGTGACGGCGACGACGGTGACCAAAGCTCGGAGCGAGTGACGAAGACTTTAACATCGGCTGACATGATCAGACCCCTGTGCGAAAAAGGGAGAGAATCTGCGGACAGCATCGCAAAGCACCGCTGTCCTGATACTCTCCGTCATGGTTTTCGACCTGGAGTCGCGCACCGCCAAACTCTTAAACGTTTCGTTTTCTCGAGCCCTGCGCTGCTGACGTCCGTGTTCCCGGCCACCCTGTTAAGTTATAGTCATCCGTCACTCACCCACCGTGAGCTCTGAGGTCTCCGTCGCCGCCGCCACTAGTCTTCTTCGTGCAGCACTGCAGCAGTCGTCACTGATACCGTCGGAACGGCGTCGATGTCCGTGCCGGTACCGCTAGCCATC